GGAACGAGGTTGCTTTTCTCCTTCCCTCCTCCCCCTCCTCTTTTTGCACCTGCCACGCAGGCTAGATCCTCTAATGGTCAAGAGTCTCTTGATTATAAATTAACATAGTAATCAGTGAACGCCAACCGCAAACCTTTATTCTCTTGTTCAGGGACGGATCGGACCATTAGAACAATGAAGGGGGGAGGGGTGGGGAGCCGGGAAGTTTCTGTTTGGCACATTTATTTGCTGTGGTTCGCCACGTGTGCATGTTTTTCTTTTCATTTTTTTTTTCTTTTTCTGAGCGTCAATGTATTTTTTCTGGCTGTTCCGGCCTTTATGACGTTTTTCACGAGAAACTTTTATGCAAGGATTTTTTCCCTACCCCGTTCACTTTTCTAGTGATCCATCCCTTAGGTTTTGTCTGCCTACTCTAAACCATACCGGAAAGCTTTTTGTGTAGACTCGAGAGCGCCCGTTGGCAGAGAAGGTTTGGTGCTCTTAAATCACAATCTCCACTCCTGAATATTTACTTCCGGGTCAATGGGTCCTACGTATTCACTTCCGCTATGGTCCGAATTCCTGTTCACACCACAGCAAAGAGCAGAATATCCGATGAGTGACGCTCCATGTTCGAGATCGGCGGAGCACAGTTCCGCTTGTTAGAGAAATCGCGCCGGAATCACCAGTCTTATGTGTGAACAGAAGCCCTATCCGGTCTGGTTTTCCGTGCCAGAGTTACCTGCGGTATAGCGTGAACATAGCCTAGGCTAGGCAGGTGAAGGCTTCGTCCGCTCTTGCTTTTATACTGCGACTAGAACCGCTGTATTGGCTGCACACAAGGGCTTTGATGCGTGATATAATTTTGGGTGCTGAGGTTTTATTTTCGTTCAGTCGTATTTCAGGTCTGACTTTCTTATTTTGTCTTTCAGTTTTATTGAATTTTTGATACAAATCAATAAATTAAATAAAATTAAAAAAAACACAAACAAACAAACACAAAATAAAATACAAAAAAAGTACAGAACTCAACATTGACAAAATACTTGAAACCACTTAAAAAGCAGAAAAATTTTTTATATACAGCATATTAGAATTTGGCGCCTAGTCAACGTGACATATTGTTGCATTGCGAAATCTATGTCGCAATTGCGAAAATCAATGTCACAATGACCGCGCAACATAGCTTACTATTATTGGAACGATGACGCTACAGAAACTGAAACCCGCGAGGGAATCACATGAGATGGATATAACGATATCATTGGCCGATTGGAACTTGCTTGGCAAGTATAAGACATCGCTGCGACATAGTTTGCCAATATTGGCCCAACGAGGTTCCTGAGAGCCCTGCAAGAGAAGTGACGAACACGGTAAACACCGCACCCTTTGGAGCTTTTCTCTGGAAGTTTCAGGTAAATTTTTCGTTATTACTTTACCATAGGTTGTCCTCTTCACACAGGTTGTGAAGAACGCTTTTTTCTTTTAATTCCGCTTTTTTGTCTGACGGCTATTTTGTTTTAAATGTGTCCTTTCACTTGACTGCGTTCGTGGCTTGTTTCTGGCCATTGTTCGCCAGTGTTGGTCTGATAAAGCTAATTTCGAATTCTTCGCGGCAGGAGCGCTTTCTCAAATCGTTGGTATGCTCAGCACTTATCAAATCGAACGCTACGATTATGCTGGTCTTTAATTTTGCCTGGGTATGTAACGAAAATTAACCAAATTTCGCTCAACTACGGTCTTCTTTTAACATCCAGCTGTCGGTTCATGCGCTTAAACGTCTTCGTGAGGTTGTGGTAGTTTTTCAACCCGACAGCTGATCGTTGAGTTGAGTGCGTATCGTCTGTTAAAAAAACTCTAGGAACCCAGCAAAAGGCTACCCGCCATGTATGAAGTTAAGTTTTTATGCTAAGATGCGCTCGTTCCAATAGACCTTGTCACGGTTTTCGACGGGTTCGCCATCTTAACGAGTAGGCAAACGCGTGAAAAATAACAGTGTTTGTATGAGCATCTAATGTCGAATAATTTCCGTAGAACGGCTGTTCTGACAAAAATATGATTTGTAAACTAAAGCTTCTCTCCTAAGAATTCTACTGAAAAAACTTGACGGCGTTACATGCATTAGAAGACCTAGAACCACTTTTTTAAATTTTCTATACATTTGTCTGTATGAGAGTCCCGGGAAAATTACAGACAAATAATTCTGTGGAAAATCTAAACCAAGCCTCTGGAGACATCTAAGCTCAGGTACGTCCCCCCAAATTTTTTAGGACAATCCTTTGCTTTGTAGCTTTAGTTTACAATTGATATTTTTTTTAGAACAGCCTCTTTACGGAAATTATTCGACATTAGATTCTCAGACAAACACTGTAATTTCTCACACGTTTTCCTACTCGTCAAGATGGCGTCGAAAACCATGACAAGGTCTATTCGAATCTGATCTTGAGAGACCTTTCCTTTTACGACCTTGATGTTTTACAAAATTAGGTGTGATTGTTGATAGGTCTGTGTGCTGTTATTATGCACGTGTCATCCGCCTCCCCCTGGGGTAGGATCCGTGGCTTAACAATTTCCTCCAGGAATGGGGGAATTATACAGTGCCATGTCCCCTGGTTCAAGTGCTTCTCAATGGAAAATCCCCCTGATACCTTCCTTTTACAACAGGGTCTGGAAGGGTATTTTCAGGATTCGGGATTTGTCCAAAATACGGTGCGGGAATCGTGAAAACAATAAATATATTGACGGGATCCGGGATTTGACTGTTCCCCGGGAAGCGGGACTCGCCAAAAATTGGGCATGGGATGCGGGATTAATGTTTGCGTGTCTCTCGGGAATGCCGGAAACCTTTAAAAACACGGGTAAATTCAAAATATCAATAGAAAGGATCAACCTACATCTTACATTTATTAGCTTTTGTAGAAATTAGACTTTTTAATGTATTTTTCTTAGGAAAAAAAGCGGTATTCGGGAAACTGATGAAAAATGTGGGGGATGCGGGATTCTCGCAAAAAAGGGGCGGGAAGGTGGGATCAGGACCCCCCCTTCCAGACCCTGTTACAATTGGGATTCACTTGATTGAAGGGACTTTTTATGGTGGTTGTAACCTGTATAGCTGGTTTAACTTGTTGCACACTTCTGCTATCAAAGACCGCAAATCAAAGCACCCGTGGAATAAGTTTCATATGAGAAAAATGGGGAAATTCCTTTGTCATTCCACTGGCCTTGATAGATGCAGATTAAATTTACTCATCAGTCATGGATTTTAGGCTTGATGAAGCAATATGATCATATCTCTATTACTCAAAAAATCAGTATGTTTTGAAAAGGAACATCCTAAGACAGATTCACGGGGTTAAACACTGAGTTTATGCCTGTGAACTGCTTGATCTAACCTGTATGAAAATCCCATTGCCAACATGTCATGTGCTAATCCATTCCTAGTTCGCAAGACAGGGGTCTCCTCTTATCTGTACAAATTTGGCAGGTCGAAAAAGCTTGCACTTCCCCTTTTGTGTTCTTGAAATTCATGGGCTGGGGAAAGCAATAAATCCCTGTTGCATACCGGCCCTTGGTTACCGTCCACAATTTTACAAATTTTTAATTCCCCCGCCCGTTTCCTTTTAGCTTTAAACAATGTTGGAAATTTGTCCCATCCAGGGGCAAAAAAACCAGTCCATTCCCTTGTTTTCCCCTACTTGTTATTCCACTATTATGTCATTTTACCATATAAGGTCAAGAAAATGCGCAACATATGAGGCCGTAATACACTGTAGTTCCTGGCTTAACCGGTTTACAACAGGGCGAATACTGGCAGATGCAAAAAGAGCAACTATGGCTGAACTGTACAATGTTTTGTATACCCTTACCAGAAAATAGACGCCAAAATAACATTGTTTTTTTTTGCAGTAGAATAATTAACCTCTCATTCAATGGTTTGGCATATAATATGCGCAAACATTTTGTTCGTTGTTAACATCATTCCCACAGACGGAATCAGGATGTTTCTGAATACTCTTACCAAAAAAATAGAAGCCAACTGCAAAATAACAATTTTTTTTGTAGCGGAATAATAAACCTCTTATTGGATGGTTTAGCATATAGTACAGGTGGACATTTTGCTCATTGCTTGTATTTTTCCTTGCCCCTGCGGGGCTCGGAAAAATACTGCGCAACTTGCAAAATATCTACACGGCCTCCGCACGTATTATATGCTAAGCCATCGGATAAGGTGTATATTCCCCTGGTTGGTGCAGGGTCCTACCCTAGGGGAAAGATGATGACAAGTGCATTACTAAACTGCTGTAGAAGTTACATCAGTAAATGAGGCATTGCTGCTGTACCGTCTGTTATAGGCACATATAACGTGCATGAACTATTGTGAATGCTTCGGTGTAACTAACCTTTACTGTAATTGAGACTGGCTTATTTATTGAAAGTATCAAGAAGTTGAGAATTGAGTATGAAACCAGCTGTATCTACAGTAGCTTCTTTCAGAGCAGCACAATCACAAAAATATATGTCTTGATCTTTAGTTTTTTTTTTGAAAAAGATTTTTTCTCTTACAGGGCTCAAAATAATTTTTTGGGAGGTGACCAGACACATTGACTAGCCAAATAAATTTTTGCTCGGTCAAGTCTCGTTTGTGACCTGTCCAGTTAAAAAAATGTGACTTATCGAGCAAAAAATGTTTACATGACATTGTTTTGTTTAGTTCCGCATCGTCAAACACATAAGCAGTGTTCGGTAAACAAGACTGGCGTGGGAATTTTTTGGCTGGTCAAGTCACCATTCTGGCTGGACATTGTCTATTGACCAGCTGTTATTTTGGGCACTGACCTGACCAGCTGCTGTTTGGTAATAAATCTTAATTCTTCCCCTAAAGCTTACACAAAGACCAGGCTTGACAGAGTGACAAAAATGTAGCTTACTTCCCATCAGCCCATCAGTGTATTATCCCTTCTCTTTGAAAATTCTGAATTTCTAATTTTTTTTATCTATCTCCTTGCTAGATTTTTAATGATATGGAATTTTATGAGAAAGAATCAGTCCATGGAAAATGCCCCGCTTTCAAAGATGGCTGTCCTTATTCTAAGTTTGCTCAAGACATCTTCATGGAAGAAATCAAGAAATGTCCTGAATTTAAAGAGGGATGCCCATTCAAAAACATGGACAACATCAAGGAGATGTTGGAGGAGCTATCCAAGATGCCGGAATCAAAACATCATGCAGGTCCAGCACACGAGCAGTTATTAAGCTTACTGAAGGCCATTCATTCCGAATCAAAAAGTTTGGAAGAAAAAGTTGGAGAGTGCCCTGTTTTCAAGACAAAGGAAGGCTGTCCATTTAAGGATGCCAGCAAAGAAGGGAAGCCTCTGATAGAGCCACCTAGTGATGTCCTGGAAAATCAGACTGTCACTGACATCAGTAAGTTGAAAGAGAAGTGTCCTGCTTTCAAAGACGGATGTCCATTTGCCAAGATGGATAATGAATCCCTTTTAGAAGAGATCAAGAAATGCCCTGAGTTCAAAGAGGGGTGTGCATTCAAGGATGCAAAATCGGTGGAAGAAATCCACAGCAAACTATCGCAGATGCCGAGTGGTGAGAAGGACTGTCACCATAAAGAAGCTCTGATGCAGACTATGAAAGTTATTCACAGTGTAGGCCATGAGAAAGCTGATGGGTGTCCACTGCTCCAAAAGGATGGGTGTCCATTTAAAAGTGTTGAGAGTGGTGGGAAGGCCATTATAAACCCCCCAGAGTCAGTTCTTCCAACAGAAGAAATAAAAGCAGAGCAGGTTAGACCCTCAGTCCATTCTGTTGGTCTAACAGATTTGAAAGAAACCTGCCCTGCATTTGAATCTGGATGTCCATTTGCCAAGGTTGGAAGGAAATACTTTGGAAAAGACCTGAAGGAATGTCCCGAGTTCAAAAGTGGCTGTCCTTACAAGGATAGTTCAGATGTTGGGGATCTTTATCAAAGGCTTGCTAGTCTTCCTCAGTTTTCAGTCAAAAAATCTCATGGGGCTAAGTTGTTAGACATTTTCAAGCATGTTCATGAAGTGTCGCAATCTCTGAAAGATGAGCTTGGGGAGTGTCCAGTGTTTGTGACTGATGAGGGATGTCCATTCAAGACAGTGTGCAGTGACGGCAAACCCTTGATTGACAAGCTCGATGATCAGCGGTGGACCAAGATCCTACAAACCTCCCTAGAAGATGTCATTCACGATGTCAGTGAAGAAATTGATAAAACTGAGCCATCAATGCATCTTTCCAAGGAGCTCAAAAAAGGCACAAAGAGAGTGCATAGAGAAGCAGAGAATGTGCACTTTGTTAAAGAATTTGCCAAAGGAAGAATTGAAAGACAGTGGTACAAGGAACTCCTTGCTGATCTCTATTTTGTGTACAGGTTAGTTCTTTTCATTAAGTCTTTGCATTTATTTCAATTGTCTGTGTGTCATGCTGCCTATTAGATGAACCCTTTTATACCACTACCTGAGAAATTTCTGCAATTTGATTGGCTTAGAGCAGTGGTATTTCCTCTTAATTTGAAATACCTGCATGTGAAAATTACAAACCTTTTGTTGGTAGTAAGTACTGTATAAACAAATAATAGCATGATTCGTATGTGATATTTGGCATAAATACCACTCGTGATATTTCAAAATTGTCTCAAATTTCATTCGCCTAACGGCTCGTGAAATTAGTATAACAATTTCAAAATATCACTCGTGGTATTTATGCCAAATATCACTACAAATCATGCTATTACCTATACTAATACCTTGGGTGGCAAATTACTCCTTAATTTTGGTGCGAAATTGCAGCGTTAATTTAGAATTTCACTTGTGAATTACAAAATTACTATGGCAACGTTCTCTGCATTTACATGTCAGTGCCAAGATGGTGTCGAAGTTTTAAAATATTATGAATGAAGATGTCAGGGCATTTGGAAAACCTAAACACACAAAAGAGCACTCTTGTTGAAAAATTCAGAACTTGTGAACTCAAGCCAAAATTTATGCTCTAAACTTCTTGGTGTTTGTGGAGTTCTCAATACGATAAGCAAGTAAAAAAACCAAGATTGTTAGTGTAATTTGTCATCCATGATATTACCGGTAATACGTAATTAAATGGTATTGATTGTTGAACAAATTCTCCTCATCGGTAACAAAACAGTGCGAAAAACTGGAGAATACACATACTGACATGTATACTTGTCAGCCTTACTGAGGCCTTGATGTATTGACCGGGCGATAGTGAGGTCAATACATCCAGGCCGAGGTCTGAGATTTCGATGTAATTACCGAAAAGACTAGGTTAATAAGTTTTTTATTATATGGCATTTAATCGTTGTGGACCTGAGCCTGTGATCAAGTAAAACCAACAACTGGTCAGCAGATAACTTAAAAAAAATGTCACCTCAATGAGTTTTACACTCAAGCTCACAATACACTCAGGTGACACTGGTCAGTGGATACGCTTTTTGACAGCTGTCAATCGACCATAACATAAATGTCCATAAGAATGTCCACTAGCAAGTTAAACACAGATTGTATATACCTTGGACACCTAGCTAATAATGCCTGGTCATTATAAGAAAACAGCTAATCAGAGCACATGTACTATTGTAGCCATATAATATGTTCACAGTGTATACTGTATAATTCTGAGGGCCAAGTGGCTGGAAAAATGTATTAATTATCTACCCACTGTCCTGTGGTATGTCCCTGTATAGGATATACAAAGTTCCCACCCACACCCTAGCATGCATCCCAGACGTGATCTAACCCCAATTAGTGACTTCTGCGAAGCAGAGCCGGGATTCTTGTTCTGGGCCTCCAAAAGACTCCTTGATCTACCAGAAGTGCTTTTCGAATTTCCCCTTTAACCTTATTGGTAAATTAATTAATAGCTTTTTTGATCGGCCAGTCATGGTGCCTACTCAAATCCTGGTACACAGGTAGAGGCCTAGAACAAAGGTTTAGGTGCTGTTTCGCAGACATACTTAACCAGAGGTTTAGTTCTTACTTGGGACAGGCTATATACCCCCTTACTTCCACTGATTAACATTGCAAAAAAGTTGCTTTCGCTTAAGGCATTGTCCCACAGTCTTGATGTACCTCGTAAAATAAAACCATTATTGTATCCTGTGGCAGATACCTATGTACAGTTGAACCTTGGCCACCTTGGGGGCAGAAGAAAGTGGCCATTGTAAAGAGGTGGCCGTTGTAGAGAGGTTTTAAACAAGAGTCAATGTATGAATTTTTTGTCCGCCGGGTGGAAAAAAAGTGGCCATTGTAGAGAGGTGGCCATTAGCAGAAGTTCGGCTGTAGCTCAGTAATGTGCTAGGTAACTGGATATGATGACTGACTGTTGCCCTCAATTTCGTTTCCCTCTTTAGCTTGCATGCACATTAAATGTTTTGTTCAATAAAAATATTAGACAAAAAACAATTCGGCAGCTGTTTAATGTAATTAAAAAGTAATTCAGGTCACCTCTGATGTACATTTTTTTGATTGGTTGGTTCATGACTTTTTTTTTCTAAAAAATTAATTTTAATGCAAGAAAAGTTTTCTTGTCATCATTGGGCCTATTTAGTTACTGTTGTCACATCATTCTTCTGGGTCTTTTTGTTCTTCTGTTCTCAGAGCTCTTGAAGAAGAGAGTGAAAAACACAAGGACCATGAGCTGTTCAAGGCTGTTCATTTTCCAAATGAGCTTGGTCGCCTCCAGAGCTTAGAAGAGGATATGGAGTTTTATTTTGGTTCAGAGTGGAGACAAGTTCCCATGTCTGATGCCACCAAATCCTATGTGAACAGAATCCATGAAGTCGCAGACAAAGATCCATCCCTACTCATTGCTCATCATTACACCAGGTACCTTGGTGATCTGTCCGGTGGGCAAATCCTCCGTAAAATGGCAATTAAAGCAATGGACCTTCCAAGCACAGGCGAAGGGGTAAAATTTTATGTATTTGAGAACATTCCTGATGCAAAGAAGTTCAAGATGATGTACAGGTCTTGCCTTGATGGACTGCGCCTTGATAAAATGAAAGCAGATGAAATTGTCAAAGAAGCCAGTTATGTCTTCCTGCTAAACATCTACCTGTTTCAAGAGATCGACACTCTGGCTGGCTTTGAAGAAGAGCAACCCAAGAAGAAAAAGTTGACGATTGAGGAGATTCACAGTGCTGTTGAAGAGACTGGTAAAGAAACTTCTGGAGTCTGTCCTTTTGCAACCATGGCCAAGAAAGAAGCAGCAGAAAACAGAGCAGGTTCAAAGCAAGAAGGGCGAGGCATTAATCCAGTGCTGTTGGCATTGTTTATTGCCTTTGCAGCCATTGTAATAGGGTTGTTTTTTCAGAAAATGAGCTAAAAAGACATAATTTGACAATGCTTTACAGCGTATTAAGTTACATATGTGTAACATTAAGGGTGGATTCGTTTGCAGATAAAGAGGCACTTAAATTTAAACAGGTTTGGTTTTTCAGAAAANTTTGCAGCCATTGTAATAGGGTTGTTTTTTCAGAAAATGAGCTAAAAAGACATAATTTGACAATGCTTTACAGCGTATTAAGTTACATATGTGTAACATTAAGGGTGGATTCGTTTGCAGATAAAGAGGCAATTAAATTTAAACAGGTTTGGTTTTTCAGAAAACGAGCTAAAAGGTCAGAAGCAGAATGCAGATTTTGCGATCTGTACATAGCCTGGGACGCAGATGTGACTCAACCTTGGTTATTAACGTCTGCGAAGCAGCGACGAGATCCGTGTTCTGTACGCCCAATAGACTCAACGAATCACAAGAAAAGCGTTTTGAATTTCCTTTCATCTTGATTGGCAAATCGACAATGACATTTTTAACAGGCCAATCATGGCACGTACTCAAATCCTTGTACACAGCCGGGGGACCAGAACAAAGATTTCGACGTTGTTTCGCAGACGGACTTGACCAGAGTTTAGTTTCGTCTGCGGTGCAGGGTATCGGTACATTGTTGTTTTTAGAATTAAAACTCATACTGTAATAATGCTTTACTGTGTATTAAGTTACATTGATTTCACATTAAGGGTGGATTCATTTTCAGGTAAAGAGACAATTGAATGTAAAGCTATATTGTTGGTTTTTGCCATAAACTTCTCGCATGGTGCCATGTAGAATTTTTATGACCGCTTTAAAATTGTTTATTTCCGTGTTAAATGTAATAACAAAATTATGATCTTGAAGCAGTACAATAATATAATTTCTATTTTATGAAACAAATTTTTGAATATAATGAATATACTAGTAACATTTAAGATAAATTTATTATTTAAGGTAAGAAGTTGTGTTTTGTTAAAACCATACACAATGTATTAAAACTTTATATTTCATTTTAAAGAATAAAACGTGGTTAAATTTGCTGCAAGTATGAACCTGGTTTGAAAGACAAATGAACAAATAATGGAAGAAGATGTGTACCTGAATTTATTATTTTGTTAGCCTGTGCCAGGCTCTCGGTCACTTTGGACGAGCGAAAAAAGTGACTTTTTTCTCGATCCGTTCTCCCCAACATCTTGGGGCCCTGAAGAGGCTAAGATAGTAGGGAGGTCACAAAAACAAGCTAGCAAACGTAAGACGCGCGTGATCTGGGGAAGAGGGCGGTGGTGAGGTTAAAGAGAGACCACTACCTTCTCTTTCTCCAACCGCTGCGTGGTTTTCATATCCGTTTTACGATCTCACATTACTATCTTAAGCCTGAGACAAGCTAGTTATATGTCTGATAGCACAGAAAGTAGAATTCTCCCACCCATGCGTGTTTAGGGGAGTCGTATCTCCTCCTGCCCCAGAGAAAATAAGATTCCCTTCCACGTGGGAGGCTAAAAAGTAGCTATAAATGCAATGGCCCTTTTACTTGCAACGGAGTTCCTCAAATAATAGGTTCGTTTTCGTGACAAGCGGGACGTCGTATCGAATGTTTCCTGAGTTAGTATCAATTAAACTATCTCTCATTGTTAACAATGGGAGTCATATTAGATAATTGTAGGTTTTGTTTCAAGTTCAGCTAAGCTAAGTTTATATGAAAAGGGAAAAGAAGACCATTTTATTTCTACATTTGACCTCTCCCAACTGGTAACTCATAGGTGATTCTTTATTGTATCTGCGACAGTGTTTCGAAAACTCCCGTGGGGGGAGGGGGCGGGGGGGGGGTGGGGGGGATCAACCAATATTTCGGTAAAGGTTAGCCGCTGAGGGGTTGAAAACCTGGCCCTAATTAGGACAAAAAAATTCCTAAAATACATACCGTACAATTCCGGAAATAAGTCCCGGGGCATATATTTTTCAAAGACCCTTTTTGAGGGGCTTATATTCAGAGGGGCTTATGTACGGAGGGAAATTTGCGTTTCAAAATCGATTAGGCTAGCTTATAGTTGGAAGGAAATTTACCGGTTTTTGCTTTGTTTTACTTTGTATTTGAGGTTAATTTCCAAGTACAAACCCCCTGGGGGCTTATATTCGGAGGGACGATTTCACGGAAGGCTTTTTATGTTGAGTTTGGGGGGCTTATACATCGAGGGGCTGATTTTCGGAATTTTACGTATACGATATCCTGTTTAGGAAAACTCCCTCAATTTTATTACCCTCTTTAGGACAAAGAACAAAACGCACGCCGTCTTGTTTTGGTAATTGCAGTAGAGCAAATTTAAGTTATGAAATTTCATCTAGCAAATCAAATCAATCGTGCAGGCAATACCCTGTTTATAATCAGGACAGACTCGCTGGAAATTATATACCCTGTTTAATATAATAGGACAGAGAGGTAAAAAACATACAATGTCCAGCGGCACATCCTCGTATAGGCCATATAGGGGAGTACCCCTCCACCCCATGGAGAACACTGTATGCAACATAAGGAAGAGACAGAGGGCGACATAATGAAATTACGAGATAATTTGATAATTACTTCATGTGTTCATGTTGGGGATGCAAGTTTTCAAGCAATAATTTTCCTGCGGCCTTGGTTTTTATCAACCGTGGGATTTTGAACTGAACTGGTGACGTCATAGGGTTGGCTTCCATGAGATGCTTCATCAGGAGATCGAAGGTCCCTTGTTTCACTCGGTACAGGAAAACAGGCGACTCTTCACCATTCTTTCGAAAATCGCGGTAAGAACTGTTGTGGTTGCAAAGAGCCTCTTCAAGCTGAAAACCAAGGGGAATAAATATATGAAAACGTGCGCAAATGACAGTGTTCTACAAATTGAATAGAGAAACATTCAGAGAGAAATTAAAATAAAAGTTGGTGGTCAGAAATTTGCTTTTTGCACGTAAAAAGGGCTAAAAGAAGAGTGAAGACAAATTTTGAAAAAATGGGGAAAGGAAAGAAGAAACGGTAGAAAAAAACAAAAAACAAAAGAAAAGTGAAAAAAAAAAAAAAAAAAAAGACTTTGCATACTTTTTACGCGTTCCCAAGTATTGAGAACCGTAGGACGAAATCCTATTGGTTTTGTTTTGAACAGTTGTCTCGGTAGTGATAGCCTTTGTTCAAGCGCCTTCCATGCAAGTTCGTCGAGAAAGTTGGGACGAAAGCAAACATTTTTTCCTTTCGATCCAACTTTCGGCAATAACTCGATTGGGAACGCTTGCTACACACAGGCTACGGTAGGAATACGGCTTGAATTTAGTAAAACTAAATAAACGTCCTTTTTTAAAAGCGTTTTTTTTAAGAGTTTCGAAAGAAGTTGAAATTAGCTGAGAAATCTCTTGCCGCGGCTTAACCAGTAACAACTAACACCAGAACCAACGGCCGTAACCGGTATCTTGCTCGTACGAATCAGTTCTGATGTGCCTGTCTTGATGTATAGTAAAAAGCTCAAGCAAGGGCGATTGGAGCGACACATATCAACCGGACGTATGGTCTAAAGGAAAGCAAAACGTCTACTGGTTGACATGCGTTATACTCTCGTTAGTGACAAGTGCCAGGTCATGAATTAGAAGTTTCACCTCCACGTCCGCTTTATGGCCATGGATGGCATTCGTCTAAACATAGCGATTACCCAAGAGATCATTTTAGGCCAGAGAGGGAGTCTAAGGGTGTTGGCTGTGATATCTTAATCACAAAAAAGTTATTTTTAGAAACTATGCGCAATATCAATTCCGGAAGACTCGCTTTCATGACTCAGTGCTTTTCTTATTTCATTGAAACTGTTAAGAATATTACTAACGGATAAAGTTCGGTAATTTCATGTGCAAAAGAGATTTTAAACGATTTACTAGACTGGACAGAATCATGATACAAGTGTGCTGAAAATCTAGGGTAGAAAAGTATCATTTTTTACACTAAAAAACAGACTCAGGATTAAACACTGATCATTTTTATTTTTAGAATGAACTACAGTAGAACCCCGGTAATTCGAACTCTGAAGGGATACGAAAAACAGTTCGAGTTTATAGCGAGGATTTCGAGTTATTGAGGTCGATTGAAAAATTCAATTTGCCATGTTAAAACTAATTGAAAGTTACCGATCTTTCAGCACTTCATATAGTGCAGTGTTAATTTAAGTTATTTCATAAGAAACGGTAACATGATAAGAAATTTTTTTATGAGAAAACGTTATCTGTTTGTTGCACCAATTAAAATCAGATTGCTGTAGTGTTGACGAGTGTTAGTTTTAGTGTTTTTACCCTAATACAATAAGACGAGCCAATCGGATGGCATCCGAGTGGAATTACAAGAACCAGAATTCGAGTTACGGGGTAAATTTCAGTGAAGTTTTGATCAAGGGAAAGGAAATTTAGTTCAAGTTAACGAGGAATTCGAGTTAACCGAGTAAAAATGACTGAAACGTGGTGTAAAATCCAAGGAAAATCCGACTTAGTTCCAGTTAGCGGGGAATTCGAGTTATCGGGATTCTACTGTATTTGCTGTTCTTTAATCATTTTGTTTTGTTTTTGTCCAAGAAGCGTTATATCCGTGCCCGTCATTGTACTCTATGAAGTTATTTTCTTTGACCACGAGTACGCAAGAACACAGCCACTCAGCTAAGCTCTACAGTACAGAGTGTTTTCACATGACGTCACGGCGGCCATGTTGGTGTCCCAAAACAATGAAACGGCGGCCATGTTTGTGTCCCAAACCAGTCCTCTGGGAGTTCAACTCTTTTCCCATGCAAACGCTTTCTTTTGTTCCAATAAATTTGCATAGATGCTGGCCACGTGAGTGAAAACACTCCATAGGGGAGGGTGGGGGCGCAAGGGAGCAGCGTAGCAGCGAGACGTGCGGACTTGTGAAAGCCAACGTAACTTGCGGCTCAAAACTCTAACACGAAAGTGGGCTTTGATAGAATCTGCTCGAAAAAGTAGCATAATATGCCACTAGCAGTGCTCGTATATTTCTAAAATTATGCCAATTATTATGCGAGTTTTTGTAAATTATGCTCATTTTAGCAAAATATGTATTTTACTTCAAATTTGGTTAAAATACCTTAATGGCTATGCAAAAGTCAAGTAAATAGCAAACGCATTTACCCTACTTACAGCTAGAATCTTTAAGAGTCCATTATTCATTCTCTGAAAGCTATAAGAACTCTCGCAAAAAAACAGCACAAGGACGCCATCTTGTTATGGGTAGGCGAGCAAGTCAGTTACGCGCATGCGTTCAGTCCTGTGGGACCGTAGTCCTTACGTAGTCCTGTGAATGCGACAATAAACAGAAAAAAAAAATACTTCTTAAATTTGCCCGTAACAAATATCTTGGGTGAAAAAAAAAATGGTTGCATGATCAATAAATGACAATTTTGTGCTGCAAAACTAGCCAAAAGTGCAAATTATGCTGGCAGTGCCTTTTTCGGGAACTACATGAAAATTATGTTCGTAATGACGAATTATGCCAAAATTATGCTACGACAATCTATCAAACCCTAGTGAGGGCGCGAGGGGGCGGCTTAGCAGCGAGACGAGCGAACTTCTAAAAGCCAACGCAACTTCCGGCACAAAACTCTAACACGATAGCCTACTCGCTAAAGCCATCCACTCGAATCTGTACAGCTAACTATACCTTTTCTTGGAGTAAACACGTTTCTTCTTTTGTCAAGAAACCGCTCAGCTCTACGAAGACGATATTGAAAGGAGCCTGCTCTGGTCCTTTCTTGGTTCCAGTCTCCGAGGAGATGCCATTAAATAGCAGACTTCCTGCGCATGTGTAGTCAACCAGTTTAATTTCTTTGAAACTTTCAACAGATTCACACAATGCGTCGTAGACCATTTTCTCAGTCATATGACAAGGAAGAACCGTGCCTCTACGGTACTGGAATTCCAAGACAGGAGATTTGTAGTGGAAGCGGGCGACATTTGCAGCCATTGTAATAGGGTTGTTTTTTCAGAAAATGAGCTAAAAAGACATAATTTGACAATGCTTTACAGCGTATTAAGTTACATATGTGTAACATTAAGGGTGGATTCGTTTGCAGATAAAGAGGCACTTAAATTTAAACAGGTTTGGTTTTAATTTTCAGAAAACGAGCTGAAAGGTCAGAAGTAGAATGCAGATGTTGCTATCTGTGCATAGCTTGCGACGCAGACGTGACTTAACCTTGGTTATTAACGTCTGCGAGGCAGCGACGAGATCCTTGTTCTGGACACCCAATGGACTCAACGAATTACAAGAAGAGCGTTTTGAATTTCCTTTCATCTTGATTGGCAAATCGACAATGACATTTTTAACAGGCCAATCATGGCACGTACTCAAATCCGGGTACACAGCCGGGGGACCAGAACAAAGATTTCACGACGTTGTTTCGCAGACGGACTTGACCAGAGTTTAGTTTCGTCTGCGGTGCGGGGTATCGGTACATTGTTGTTTTTAGAATTAAAATTCATACTGTAATAATGCTTTACTGTGTATTAAGTTACATTGATTTCACATTAAGGGTGGATTCATTTTCAGGTAAAGAGACAATTGAATGTAGAGCTATATTGTTGGTTTTTACCATAAATTTCTTGCGTGGTGTCATGTAGAATTTTTATGACCGCTTTAAAATTGTTTATTTCCGTGTTAAATGTAATAACAACATCATGATCTTGAAGCAGTACAATAATATAATTTCTATTTTATGAAACAAATTTTTGAATATAATGAATAGACTAGTAACATATAAGATAAATTTATTATGTAAGGTAAGAAGTTGTGTTTTGTTAAAACCATACACAATGTATGAAAACTTTATATTTCATTTTAAAGAATAAAACGTGGTTAAATTTGCTGCTAGTATGAACCTGGTTTGAAAGACAAATGAACAAATAATGGAAGATGTGTACCTGAATTTATTATTTGTTAGCCTGTGCCAGGCTCTCGGTCACTTTGGAGGAGCGAAAAAGGTTACTTTTTTCTCGATCCGTTCTCCCCACCATCTTGGGGCCCTGAAGAGGCTAAGATAGTAGGGAGGTCACAAAAACAAGTTAGCAAACGTAATACGCGCGTGATCTGGGGAAGAGGGCGGTGGTGAGGTTAAAGAGAGATCACTACCTTCTCTTTCTCCAACCGCTGCGCGGTTTTCATATCCGTTTTACGATCTCACATTACTATCTTAAGCCTGGGACAGGCTAGTTATTTGTCTGATAGCACAGAAAGTAGAATTCTCCCACCCATGCGTGTTTAGGGGAGTCGTATCTCCTCCTGTCCCAGAGAAAATAAGATTCCCTTCTACGTGGGAGGCTAAAAAGTAGCTATACATGCAATGGCCCTTCTACTTGCAACGGAGTTCCTCAAATAATAGCTTCGTATTCGTGACAAGCGGGACGTCGTATCGAATGTTTGCTGAGTTAGTATCAATTAAACTATCTCTCATTGTTAACAATGGGAGTCATATTAGATAATTGTAGGTTTTGTTTCAAGTTCAGGTAAGCTAAGTTTATATGAAAAGGGAAAAGAAGACCATTTTATTTCTACTTTTGACCTCTCCCAACTGGTAACTCATAGGTGATTCTTTATTGTATCTGCGACAGTGTTTCGAAAACTCCCGTGGGGGGAGGGGGGGTGTGGGGGATCAACCAATATTTGGGTAAAGGTTAGCCGCTGAGGGTTTGAAAACCTGGCCCTAATAAGGACAAAAAATTCCTAAAATACATACCGTACAATTCCGGAAATAAGTCCCGGGGCATATATTTTTCAAAGACCCTTTTTGAGGGGCTTATATTCAGAGGGGCTTATGTACGGAGGGAAATTTGCGTTTCAAAATCGATTAGGCTAGCTTATAGTTGGAAGGAAATTTACCGNTAAGGACAAAAAATTCCTAAAATACATACCGTACAATTCCGGAAATAAGTCCCGGGGCATATATTTTTCAAAGACCCTTTTTGAGGGGCTTATATTCAGAGGGGCTTATGTACGGAGGGAAATTTGCGTTTCAAAATCGATTAGGCTAGCTTATAGTTGGAAGGAAATTTACCGTTTTTGCTTTGTTTTACTTTGTATTTGAGGGCAATTTCCAAGTACAAGCCCCCTGGGGGCTTATATTCGGAGGGACGATTTCACGGACGGCTTTTTATGTTGAGTTTGGGGGGTTTATACATCGAGGGGCTGATTTTCGGAATTTTACGGTACGCTGTTTAAGAAAACTCCCTCAATTTTATTACCCTCTTTAAGACAAAGAACAAAATGCACGCCGTCTTGTTTTGGTAATTGACATAGAGCAAATTTAAGTTATAGTATGTACGTAATTGTTTTTGTATACTCGGAGTACAAACAAATTTCATCTAACAAATCAAATCAATTGTGCAGGCAATATCCTGTTTATAATTAGGACAGACTCGCTCGAAATTATATACCCTGTCTAATATAATAGGACAGAGAGGTAAAAAAACATGCACTGTCCATATAGGCCATATAAGGGAGTACCCCCCCACCACCTGGAGAATACTGTATGCAACACAAGGAAGAGACAGAGGGCGACATAATGAAATTACGAGATAATTTGATAATTACTTCATGTGTTCATGCTGGGGATGCAAGTTTTCAAGCAATAATTTTCCCGCGGCCTTGGTTTTTATCAACCGTGGGATCTTGAACTGAACTGGTGACGTCATAGGGTTGGCTTCCATGAAATGTTGCATCAGGAGATCGAATGTCCCTTGTTTCACTCGGTACAGGAAAACAGGCGACTCTTCACCATTCTTTCGAAAATCGCGGTAAGAACTGTTGTAGTTGCAAAGAGCCTCTTCAAGCTGTAAAACAAGGGGAAAAACTGTATGAAAACGTGCGCAAATGACAGTGTTCTACAAATTGAATGGAGAAACACTCAGAGAGAAATTAAAATAAAAGTTGGTGGTCAGAAATTTGCTTTTTGCACGTAAAAAGGGCTAAAAGAAGAGTGAAGACAAATTTTGAAAAAAAATGGGAAAAAGAAAGAAGAAACGGTAGAAAAAAAAAAGGAAAGAAGAAAAATGCGTCGCCTACTTTTTACGCGTTCCCAAGTATTGAGAACCGTAGGACGAAATCTTATTGGTTTTGTTTTGGATAGTTGTCTCGGTAGTGATAGCCTTTGTTTCAAGCGATTCCGTGCAAGTTCGTCGAGAAAGTTGGGACGAGAGCAAACATTTTTTTCCAATCGATCCAACTTTCGGCAATAACTCGATCGGAAACGCTTGCTACACACAGGCTACGGTAGGAATACGGTTTGACTTTAGTAAAACTAAATAAACGTATTTTTTTAAAAGCGTTTTTCTTATGAGTTTCGAAAGAAGTTGAAATTAGCTGAGAAATCTCTTGCCGCGGCTCAGCCAGTCACAACTAACTAACACCAGAACCAACGGCCGTAACCGGTATCTTGCTCGTACGAATCAGTTCTGACGTGCCTGTCTTGATGTATAGTAAAAAGCTCAATCAAGGCCGATTGGAGTGACACATATCAACCGGACGTATGGTCTAAAAGAAAGCAAAACGTCTACTTCTGGTTGACGAGCGTCGCAAAAAACGCCTTTGCTTTATACACTTCGTAGTGACAAGTGCCAGTTCATGAATTGTAAGTTTCAGCTCCACGTCCGCTGTATGGTTATGGATGGCAAAGATCATTATAGGACAGAGAGGGAGTCTAAGGGTGTTGGCTGTGATATCTCAATCACAAAAAAGTTATTTTTAGAAACTACGCGCAATATGTGGAAATAGTTTCTGGTGAACTGGTTGACTTCTGGAAGACTCGCTTTCATGATTCAGTGCTTTTCTCATTTCTTTTGAAATTGTTAAGAATCGAACTAACGGATAAAGTTCGGTAATTTCATGTGCAAAAGAGATTTTAAACGACTTAGACTGGAGAGAATGATACAAGTATTACAAGTATCAGCTGAAAATCTAGCGTAGAAAAGTATCATTTTTTACACTAAAAAACACACTCACGATTAAACACTGACAATTTTTGTTGTTAGAGTGAACTACAGTAGAACCCCGGTAACTCGAACTCTGAAGGGAAACAAAAAACAGTTCGAGTTAGCGAGAATTCGAGTAGTTATTGAGGTTGATTGAGACTGTAACAATTTGCCATGTTAAAACTAATTGAAAGTGCAGTGAATTGATAGTGCAGTGAAAATTTAACTTATTTCATGCGAAACGGTAACAATTAATTTGATAAGGTATCTTTTATGATAAAACGTTATCTGTTTGTTGCACCAATTAAAATCAGATTCCTGTAGTGTTGACGAGTGTTAGTTTTATTGTTTTTACCCTAATACAACAAGACGAGCTAATGGGATGGCATTCGACTGGAATTACAAGAACCAGAATTCGAGTTACGGGCTAAATTTCATTTTTGATCAATGGAAAGGAAATTTAGTTCGAGTTAACGGGGAATTCGAGTTATCCGAGTTCGAGTTAACCGCGTAAAATTGACTGAAACATGGAGCAAAATCCAAGGAAAATCGGACTTAGTTCGAGTTAGCGGGGAATTCGAGTTATCGGGGTTCTACTGTATTTGCTTTTCTTTTATCATTTTCTTTTGTTTTTGTCCAAGAAGCGCTATATCCGTCCAAATAATGGCTCGTCATTGCACTGCGATATTTGGTTATCAATGAAGTTATTTTCTTTGACCACGAGTACGCGAGAACACAGCCACTCAGCTAGGCTCTATAGTATAGGAGAGGGTGGGGTCCAAGGGAGCAGCGTAGCAGCGTAGCAGCGAGACGAGCGGACTTGTGAAAGCCAACGTAACTTGCGGCACAAAACTCTAACACGAGAATAGGCTTTGATAGGTCGTGCTCGAAAAGTAGCATAATATGCCACTTGCGGTGCTCGTATATTTCTAAAATTATGCCAATAATTATGCTAGTTTTTGTAAATTATGCTCATTTTAGCAAAATATGCAGGAATTATGCTTCCACGTTTTCATCTCAAATTTGGTAAGAATACCTCAATAGCTATGCAAAAATCAAGTAAATGGCAAACACATTTACCCTACTTATAGCTAGGAACTTTAAGAGTGCATTATTCATTCTCTGAAAACTATAAGAACTCAAGCAAAAAACCAGCATACGGACGCCATCTTGTTATGGGTAGGCGAGCAAGTCAGTTACGCGCATGCGTTGAGTCCTGTCGGACCGTGGTCCTGTAAATGTGACAATAAGCAGATAAAAAAAAAAATACTTCTTAAATTTGCCCGTACCAAATATCATGGGTGAAAAAAAATTGGTTGCATGATCAGTAAATGACAATTTTGTGCTGCAAAACTAGCCAAAAGTGCAAATTATGATGGCAGCGCTTTTTACGGGGCGCGAGGGAGCGGCGTAGCAGCGAGACCAGCGGACTTCCAAAATACAACGTAACTTCCGGTACAAAACTCTGACGATAGCCTACTCGCTAAAGCCATCCACTCGAATCTGTACAGTTTACTATACCTTTTCTTGGAGTAAACACGTTTCTTCTTTTGTCAAGAAACCGCTCAGCTCTACAAACACGATATGGAAAGGAGCCTGCTCTGGTCCTTTCTTGGTTCCAGTCTCTGAGGAGATGCCATCAAATAGCAGACTTCCTGCGCATGTGTAGTCAACCAGTTTTATTTCTTTGAAACTTTCAACAGATTCACACAATGCGTCGTAGACCATTTTCTCAGTCATATGACAAGGAAGAACCGTGCCTCTACGGTACTGGAATTCCAAGACAGGAGATTTGTAGTGGAAGCGGGCGACTCTCACCACATCTCCCATTCTGTATCGGTAAAGACCACCTGGCGTAGTTATAACCAGCTCGTAGAGAGAGTTTACTTCAAGGTCTTCGGCTAAACAAGTCTATGAAGGAAAAAAAAGGAGGAAAATCCTTTATTAAAGGCATCTGGAAAACCTTCAACAACGGCAAGGTATACATTTTAGACTACTAGCGAGTCCGGTACAGCCATTTATAGGCGGATATATATACCTGGATTTTTGAAAACTGGGTTAGCAAAAAAATCAACTCATTCTACTACTTGGCAATTTAAAACAATAAAACATCATTTAAAGGCCGATTAAAAGCCTTTATCTGACGCCGGGCGGTAAGTTAGTGGTTACTAGAAGCATTTCAACGAGTCCAATTTAAAATGACGCAAATGTTAGAACATGTCAATCCTTAGCGGGAGAGGGTGCGGCAAAAGCGTGATATGATCAGTTAGTCTCTGGATAATCCGTTCACTGATCATGTGTCTGCTTTAAGTTTGTCATGCCAAATTCTTTAAATGTGCCATGCCAATTGGCCAATAAAAGGATTCTCCTCACCCATTTGCTGGGCTACGAGGCCGTGTCAAGGCGATGTGGTCTTGAATTCTCTTCTTAGGGCTAGCTAAGGTCTCAAGCTGCCTCTGTCATGTAGAGCCTTAAAGCAGCTAGAGTTGGCCAAGTTTTGATAGACTTGAATATTTCTTTGCTAATCAGGCCAGAAACCAAGAATAGACTCACCTTAGAAGGCTTGTGGGTGAGAGCTGATTTTCTTTACAAATATTTACTCTATTTAAGTCAAGTTAAGATATGTGGCCTAGAGCTGCTAGCTGGTGCGGTTTCCATATATTCGGTTAGATATATCTGAGTGGATTTGGAAAAATCGGATTATAGAGAGCAAAGTCCAAGAATCAAGAACTCAACCTCCCACTACAACCTACAACCTACAACCTTCATTGACTTGACATACATATTTGTTCAATAGTGCTGACCACTCATCATTAGTCAATCACTCCTCCCCCCCGTGCTGTACAATTGACACCATAGAGCAATGATTTGGCTGGGGTAGCCCGTAGGCAAAATTCCTTGACTTTGCACTGCTGCTCTCTAACTTGTCAAAGTGTCGAAAGTCTCCCCCTACTTTGGTCCAGAGCTCCCATCCACCCACCAACTGTTAGGTCTGTCCCTGGGCTATCTGCCGGTATTGGGCTTCGCGGCAGCCCCCTCTATTTTTGCCCGCTACCCTGGCTTGACACTTAGAAGGCACCTTTTAGCAAATTCACACAAATATATATACACATATACTATATTGAAAAAATTTCCATTGACTCGAGTGCAAGGTTGGCTTGTATTGGCCAAGTTCCAGTTCTGTGGCTTTTCATTGTGAAAGTGAAGTACACAACTTGCGGGAACAACGCAGAAAAGCTTTTAGACCAAACCGAGGCCCGAAGGGCCGAAAAAATTTTTTTTGAGACTGCCTTTCTTTTTCTCAGGGTCTGGATAACCACCTCCCCTTATTTTCATGATTGACTGTGGTCATGAAGAGTTAAAAATAGGAGAAAAAATGCCGCCACTGCGATGCTATCCTTCTCATGATGAGACTGAAAAAGTATATAAAGTAAGCGGCGCTGAAAAGGACGAGAAATGAAAAGCATTTTTTGTTTCTTTTTTACATATGCCTGTACAATCATGACATGGCTTGCGTGACTCGTCCACAAGAGAGGGTGTAAGAAAAACCCCGCGACTAATCAATCTGGACATAATGTCCAACGAAAAGTTACCTTGGCTTGTTCTTCATGGCAATTTTCAACAGGTACAAATTCAAAAAAGGCGGCTGACAGCACAGGTAGATACATCGGCTCATCTTTTGGCCATAAATTGACACCAATGATCGATTCAGAGCTTATGTATAAAGAAGAGTACATAGGCACATCACCTGTGTATTTTTCTCGCAGTCTCTTTGCATACAACTCTTGTCGCCCTAAATAACGAGGGAGGAAAAAAACATTGGCAAAAACAAATTTCCTTAAAATCGCATCATTTTTTAAAAGTCGGGTTTGCAACGAGGATCTGGAAATAAAGCAAGTGAAAACTGAGCAATGACAGTGCCTTTGGGTGCGTTCTTTGCTTGTGGCGAGCGAATAATGATTCGTAGCATCCTGGTGTCCACTTTTTATTTTTTTTTTATTTGATGAAGACAAAAACATCACACTTTGCTACTATACCTGTAGTCCTACCCCTTATAATCCTTAAGTTTGGCCAGATTCTTGATGCTATTCCATCAAATCCTGCCTGGAATTCTTTTCGTAATTCTTCAGCTCGCTTCTTGTCAGGTTTAAGATACCTATCCAGCTCACTGAAACAACACCAAAGTAAAACAATAATTAAAGTTCCCCCATCACGTGTTGATCCTCCTTTTTTCACGCGGTGATTAAAGAGGCAAATTGGTCGCCGCTCGGTGCACCATAATGCGTCTCTGTTTACAAACGCAGGCATTTTTATTCCTCTTTCGGTGTTTTCGGTGGCAAGCAGTACAACAAGGAAACAAATACAGCGCTAAATTATGTTTGAAAAACGATGCCCTCTCAAAAGCAAGCAGGTCCGATGGTAACAACTAATGTTAAGGAGAAGGACTAAAGGATCCCATTTCTTCGACACAGAGACTTGTCGTCCTTACGCCGTCGTCACTCGATCCAATCCCAAATCAATAAATCAGTGGCAGATCCAGGGGAGGGGACCAGAAGGCCCGGGCCTCCTCTTATTTTTTAGACCAAACTGAAGCCCGAAGGGGCGAAAAAAAATTTTTTGAGACTGGCCTCCCACTTATCTCAGGGTCTGGATGACCGGGCTCCCCCTCATCTGAAGGTATGGAATTGCCTGAAACTCTAATAAACTTAGCAAGCTTAGGGCTCAAACGTGATTACTTTCAACATAATTTTTACCTTCTTATCTTAGTATCCAATTCTAGATCGGAGTCCAAACTTCCTTCTTCAATATCCTTCACCAGACGTTGCCAGTTTTTCTCTAGTTCCAGAAAACCTCTATATGTGTACACGGCCAAGTACGAAAATATAGTTCCGATGTTACGATCTTTTAAACCAAATAGCAAGTGAACATAGTACGACGCGTGGCTTTCCAAAATGTGAAAGCCGGGGGCTGGGGTCGAGTACCGTGCCAACTCAGATACGCTTGGTGTGTTATTGGTTATAGCACTTTTAAGAATTCCGCCTTCAGTTATCTCTTTGTTTCTACTTTGTCTAAAGAATCCCAGAGTTTTCTGTAGATTAAAAGTCTGCAATTTAAGGAATAAAACTGTAATGTTAGGTTGGATACACTAGCTACATAACCTGGAGGTGCACTGTAAGACCAATCGAATCACAAGGCTCTTGAATTAGCGCCGCCCGGTTAGCTCAATTGGGAGAGCGCCGGTCTGCTGAGCGGGAGGCCGTAGGTTCAAACCCCGGCCGGACCAACACTAAGGGTCTTTAAATAACTGAGGAGAAAGTGCTGCCTTTGTAATAACAATAACCGTAGGCCCCGTCTCACAAGCCCTTGCACATGTAATAAATCTGTGGGACGTTAAAGAACCCACACACTCTTCGTAAAGAGTAGGGCACGTAGTGCCCGGTGTAGTGGTCTATCTCACTTTCACACTCATGTTTGGGGGCATCATCACTCATTCCTTCAGTACTTCTAAACTGCACCTTAAGCAGTCTGGCAAAGTCCCCCAACCAGTGTTGTAAATTATCCCTGAAAAGCCCCTTGGGGAGGGGATAATAAGATATTTACAAAGTTTCTTCATTTACATTTGATGAAATAAGTGCGCGACAGCCTATCTAAAGTTCTTCCGAAAGAGGGGGTGCATATTCAAAGGAAGGCGCTTAATCAAAGGGGTCCCTTAGTAAGACTTACGATTTGCGCCCTTTAAAAACGGCGTGCCTTTTGTAATATGACGAAAACTAACACAGTGGATAATTCACACAAAAGAACTGCAAACACTCGAAGAGAGACGAAACTCCAGGCTGGAACTGAACGGACAAGAAGGTGTTCTCCTTTGTTTGCGCTGGATAGTCATATTTTAATCAACAATTAGTGAACGAGGCTGATTATCTTATGAAGAATTATGGAGATCGAGGAGGTTGTTATCCGTCGAGGCCGTAGGCCGAGGCGGATAACACCCTCCGAGATCTCCATAATTCTTCATATGATACGAAAGCCAAATTCAATAATTGTTTTATTATTCATCCAAAATAATTCCTAGTTTAAAATATAGCCAAAACAAGCTTACCTGCATCGATGTTAAGTCTATCTTCGATAGTTTACGTTTAGGTTTGTCCAGCTCCGCAAATATTCTCCAAATAGCAGATGTCGCCCTCCTAGTTGTCTTCTTGCTGTTTTTGCTATGTTTTTAGCCATTATTTCGCCTAGCTCCAGCTGTAGTTCTTACTCTTGAAACGAGTGAAGTGTCCGCCATTTTAGTTTTTACAACGAAAACAACTCAATCTCGTCCCCAGGTCTTCTCGGTTAGCGGTGCATTAACCTGCAGAAGGCTGCATTTTTGACGTCATTTCCTCGTTAAACACAAAATTCTTCCAAATTTGGTCATCAGTAACCGGTTATGATAGTTAAAAGTAGGGTTGTGTAGGAAGGGGTGAATTATGCGTGTGCTTTTAGCCAATCAGAATTGGGGAAATATTTCCAATGAATAATAAGAAATCTTAAGAAATTCTAAAGGTGAGTAAAGGAAAAGATTTTCCTTTAGATCATTTACTATGATATCTTAATAATATTAAAGAAAGCACCCAGAGAAAGGGTACTCTTAGGAATTCTTAGTGGGGTTGTACCGCCCTGTTCTCGACCCTATTTCAGACCACCATGGGCATAATTCATATCCTCTTTCAGACCAAAACTATACCCTTCGGGGTGGCACATATATAGATCATACATAACATTAAGGGACTCACCTCCACTGGGGAGAAAGCGATGGGTACTGGGTATGAGAGGAGCGCTCATTTGCTAGTTTGGTCAAGGGACAGGCGCTTATTCAAGTAGGGGTCCCTTTTCGCCAATAACAGCAAACCTTTTTCATCTACCTGAGGATGTGCAGAATACATAGCACTCGACAGTGCGGCTACTGCAATACGGATTGGTTTCTCCTGACTCTGAACACGAGGTATCATACTTGGGGAGCCTGTGGTTCCTGACGTCACGGCCAGTTTGCTCGTCTTCTCTTTTGTCAGCACCCCATCTTCACCTTTAGCGATCCTGTCTTCATACGTTAAAATCGAAGCAAAGATTTAAGTCATTTTCAAGGGGAATTCAAGAAGTCCTAATGCGCTGAGGGGATCCAGACTGTTTGGTACCGTTTCTAAGGAAACAGCCACTTATTTTGGATGATTAATAGATGTTAGTTGACTCTTGACTCCCGATTACTCGAACCCTCGCTAACTAGAAGTCGATTCCCCCTAAATTTCCTTCATACATTTTTAGTTATACCCTCGGTAACTCGAACCTCCCGCTTAGTCGAAGTAATTTTTGTTTCCCTTCAGATGATTTCTATACAATTTTACCCTCGATAACTCGAACCATGTTTTAAGTGCGTGACAAGTCGGAAAAAAAATCATGTACTGAAGTCCGAAACATTGAATTTATTTCGAAACAGCCGTGTCACTCAGCCCACTTAAGGCATGACTGTATATGCATATTTAGGTAAAATGCTATCTAGAACGGTTTGCTTCTATCAATGATCCTGAAAATTGAACTACAACTGTAGCTTAATGGTCTTAGCAATATAAGACATTTTAGAAGCTCAAATTTTCGTCACGTGACTGATAATTGGGAATTCAGTAACGGTCAAAATATTTACTCTAAAATGGAGAAAGGATAGTGAAAAAGCAACAAGTTCTTTTAGGTACATTTCAGAGGCTATTAAAAAGGTTCTGAAAAATTCGTCTTGTATGTATGTTTACGTTATATAGGAATCGGTAAATAAAGGGAAAAGGGTCACTTGACTTATTAATTAGTTGAATAGCTAATAGGATAAATAACATTTCCAATCATACAAGCCAGATTTACGATTTACACTGTTTAAGTAACATTTTGGTAGTGTCTTTCCTAAGATTTACGTTTGCAAACCTTCCCAGTTTAGGAAAACGTGTTTTGTGACGTCATAGACGAAGCAATATCACGTGTTATTTGAAATCACGTTTCACATGTTTTTTTCGTTGAAACACATTTGTAGTTCACTTTTCAGGAACACTGATGGAAGCAAAACAAATTCTTATTTTCAGTTATTTGCTTCGAACTCCCGATAACTCAGCCTTTTTTCGATTTCCGTAGAAGTTTCGAGTTATCGGGAGTCGACTGTAAAAGTAAATTCTCGTTACACTTAGAAATTACTTTATTTTACTTTGTTGAATTCGTCCATGTTGTTAATTAATATGTACATAAAAAAATATAAGAAAATATAAAATACGTTAGACAGAAAAAAATGAATAAATAAATATTATAATGCGACAGGTCAATGAGTAAATCAATATTATGATGCGACAGGACAATGTCTTAGTTGAAATCTTGCCCCCAAAACCAAATAGAAGAAAACCATAAATGGCCGTCTCTCAGAAAGGTAGGTGTGCGATTTTGTTTTGTCATGGATTTGACAAAGGACCAAAAGCGTTTAGTGTTATTAAGCAGACATTCGTTCAGTTCGGACTTCTTGAAAGTTTAACTATTTAAGCCGCAATAGTGCCCAACATTAATTTTCTCCTAACAGTGTTCATGTGTTGCCAAGAGAAATGGTTATGAGAATTAATAAAATGATCACCTAAGAGAAAATGCCTTGATCTTCTACCAAATTCTCTCAACTCATTCTTTAAGGAAATGTATGGAGATCAGTTTGGAGAATTTGTATGTGGATATTGGGGCTTAAAGGGTTAACCATGCAGCGCCCTCAGCATTCATATCATGGTGTCAAAAAACAGCCACCTAATTCAGGCGCGTATCTAGGATAAATACTGATCGAATTCCTGAACGACCGCCGAAGGCGGAAGCTTCTAGGAGAGTCCGGGCGCATGCTCCCCCGGGAAAACTTTTGGATTGTAACTCCCTTAAGTCCGCTTTCCTGGGATTCTGAGTCATTCTGACAGGGTATTGGCCAGTTCCATTTTCCTCGGATGAAGCCTTGCAACTTGGAAAGTTCTTTTCTTTATTAAAAATACAGTCGACTCCCGATAACTCGAACCTTCAAGGGAAATGGAAAAAGGTTCGAGTTATCGGGAGTTCGAGTTACCGGGAGTTCGAAGAAAATAGCCGAGAGAAAGGTAAAAAACAGTTTTTATTGCACAATGAACATTTTAATCACATTTAATAGTAGAAATGTCAAGTGAAAACTAAAAGATACTTTTAGATTATAAATCAGAACGTAACGTAACAAAACAGCCTAAATTGAGCATGCGTTTTGCTGTTTTGAGAAGAAAAGCTGCTTCACGTTTGCCTGTGACAATCAACATCAGCCTCCACTAGTAAACTTTACTCCTACAACACGTCAATAGGAAATCCAAAATTCAATGTTTCGGACGCCAGTAGACGGCTTTTTTCCCGACTTTTTAAGGGGTCAAAACATGGTTCGAGTTATCGAGGGTAAAATTATATAGAAAATGACTTGAAGGGAAACATAGATTGGTTCGAGTTAGTGGGAGTTCGAGTTATCGAGGGTTCGAGTTACCGAGGGTAAAATTACAGTGAATGTATGACGGAAATCCAGGGGAAATCGATTTTGGTTCGAGTTAGCGCGAGGTTCGAGTTAGCGAGGGTTCGAGTTATCGGGAGTCGACTGTATCTTTAGTATGAAAAATCTGACCGGTGTGGATCCGCGCCTGTAATTCTCCCAGTTTTACTGGCCGTGCCTGCCCTATTCATCTCTAATAAGCCGTTAGCCATTCGCGTTAGCGATTATGTTTTTCCAATCTTTGAACGTGACGATTTACGGGTCAAACCTTTGAACGAAAGGTATAAACACGCAGAATAATAACAATATTAATTATAATCTTCTTGTTACTCCTTTTTCTCTATTATTGTGATCCTTTATTATTTTGCTTTTAGCTATGGCGTTTTTATAGATGTTTGAATTGTAAAGGACTTTTTTTCTATTGAGTCATTCCCTAAAAAGGTCAGTGTATTGCTGATGAATTATTGTAATCGGCCGCTATATTGTAATGGCATGGAAATGTAAATAGATTGAATTGAATTGGAAGTGTATCTCGTGTGCTGATCTCCAAATCGTGACAGTTTGAAGAAAGGGATCAGTAAATGCTGTAAATGGTATACATTTGACATACCGTATTTATTCGATTAACCGCCCTGGGCGCTTATTAAATTTTTGGACCTTGAGAGTGGGCGCTTATTCGAGGTGGGCGCTTATTGGAGGTTGGGCGCTTATTAAATTTTCACCATTTTCAGCAAGTGAAGTATTTTTTTTTGCAACAAAATAATAAATGCTACAAACAAAACGCGAAGAAGTAACAAAGCAAGGTTTCTGTAAAATACTCTGAAGAAAACTCCGTCCTCAAGGAAGTCTCTTATTGGAACTTATTCACTTAATTGGGTGGGGTGGGGGTGAGTGCTTATTTGAGTTTGATTGGGGGGAGGAGGGGGTGGGCGCTTATTATCTTTTTCTGCCTTTAGGATGGGCGCTTATTCGAGGTGGGCGCTAATTCGAGGTTGGGCGCTTATTCGAATAAATACGGTACCTGAGAAGGGGAGACGAATTCCCGGAGGGGGGGTGGGGGGGAGCACTGCCAATGTTCACACCTTGTAGCAATCAATATCGCAATTGACTCAAGACCCTGCTGGGCAGAACTTACCAGTTTAGGTAAGATAAGGAAGCGCCCGCCGGAAATTTAGGACTAAACAGAATTAGTGTGTTAAACAGTGTATGGCTTACCAACATATTCCTTGTAAGAAGCCTTGGTCGTCAGTGGAACAACATTTATGAAGTCTTTACTGCTCTGTATGCTTTCAAAGTTGTACTCTCGCCCAAAAATAGTGTTTCGATTGCTGCTTATTATCTCCAACAGAAACTTTTCCTGTACTTTGCGACAGTCGTTTGCCTCCCGATCAAAGCGTTTCCTCATCCGCCCTCCGAAAATCCACAAAACCATTATAACCAGATAATTCTGAACCTGACTTCGCAAACTGTGAGATTTTGATCTGTGCTGGCTAAAAATGTGGACACAAGCGGAAATCATGATGCATGCCAAGAAAACAAATATCGCTGCGAAGAGAAAGGCAGTTAATTTACGTGGCAGCGCTGCTAAGAACAGTGGAACCAAGATGAATCCACAGACTTTGACAAAAGTCACTCCAGCCATTTCTGACGGTTTATTAACCGTACCTCAGTTTCAGAAATAAGGTGCTCCCTAAAATGTGCGTGCCTCGATATGTTGTTGTGGATGTTAATGATTCAACTCTGACCTCGGTGTGAAAGAACAAAAAGCGATTACTAATATCCCTAACATGAGATGCAAGTCACGCAACACTAACACCACCACACAACAGGCAAAGATGATTACATTATAAAATACCCAATCCACTAGCACAAGAAACAATCGAACATTTGCAGTAATGATTTTTAGAACCCCGAAATGATTCTGCCCCCGAAATGATTTCCAGTGTTCCACACGGGCAGCCCTAAAATAAGAAATCATGGAAACGGAATCACGGTAAAGGAATCTGGAATCTGGAATCTGGAATCTGGAATCTGGAATCAAACAGGATTACTCTTTCTTCCATTCTGTATTTACACCTAAAACAAAGAAAGCATTGGTGTCCAGAATTTCTGTTTAGGTCAAAAACTTTTTTTACCCGATTAAAGGTCGAAAACCGCTTATCGAATAACGAAAGAATGTAACAAACAAAAGCACTACTGTCCTCCAAAAATGCAACTTTAGCAATAGGCAAAGTTTGATACGGAATCCATTTTTCATTCAAACTGAAGAAGTAAAGAAGGGTTATTATTGTCTGATGTTGTTTTCAGAAAAAAAAAAAAAAACATTAAAGTCATGATGTAAGATTTTTTTTAGGAACTTTCCCAAGCAAGTTCAAACATGCCTTTAATATGAGTTCCGCTTGATTTTTTTAACCAATTAGAATTTTATCCTGTGATAATTTTTTTATCCCATACTAACTTCTTTTATCACGTGATAATTTTGCATCCCGAGATAACCGTCGTGTGATAATTATGTTATTCCCGTGATATTTCTTATCTTGTGATAATTTAGACTATTATCCCGTGATAATATTTTATCTCGTGATAAATTTTTGTCCCATGACCATACAAAACCTGCACTGTCACATGACTTGGAAAAGCAAAGATGGCCTCTCCAAGGACGGCCCCGCGATCAGGTGATTTTTTTTTTCGGGAAAAGCACGAAAGTCGGCGGACGGGGAAAGAGAAGGGCCGGTTGATCGCAGGTTATAGTTTTATCGGCAAAATGATCCTAACGGCAGAGTGATGAATAAGTAAACAAAATAATAAAACCAAAAATATATCGCAACAAATTTGCCCGATATTTCGGTTTGGAACTCAAACCTTCTTCAGGGGCTAGGAAAAAAATGACAATGAAACTGAAAGATCGTTACAAATAATGGTTTGAAAATTAAAAAATAGATGGTGATTAGTGTAGGTGCAGACTAGGTTTTATCGTATATCATCAAGCTTCGTCACGTCTTTTTTCCCTAGCTAGAGGAGACAATGTTTTCTCTTTGTATGTTAAGTAAACCTCCCGAGCCTTTCTGACTCAGTCACATTTGCTGCGTATGACTGAGTTCAAGAGGAATGAGACGAACATCGTTGAATGAATGTCCAGGTTAATTGAAATGTTTATTTGTAGTTGGGCAAGCTCCCTTAGCGTCCATCTAACCCTTACACCTCTAGTTGACGAATACGAGAACCATTCTCCGAAAGCGGCCAGCCCTAGTTACCGACACCTTTTTCGCGTCCCGAGGGCGTCTGCTTAAGAGAGCTTCCACTGTAATTTGATAATTACTTCATGTATTCTTGCTGGGGATGCAAGTTTTCAAGCAATAATTTTCCCGCAGCCTTGGTTTTTATTAACCGTGGGATTTTGAACTGAATTGGTGACGTCATAGGGTTAGCTTCCATGAGATGCTTCATCAGGAGATCGAAGGTCCCTTGTTTCACTCGGTACAGGAAAACAGGCGACTCTTCACCATTCTTTCGAAAATCGCGGTAAGAACTGTTGTGGTTGCAAAGAGCCTCTTCAAGCTGTAAAACAAGGGGAATAACTGTATGAAAACGTGCGCAAATGACAGTGTTCTACAAATTGGATAGAGAAACCTTGAGTTAGAAAAGCAAAAATTGTTGGTGAAACGAGTAATGAATTTTCGTCTTATTTTTTAAGGTAAACAATGCCTTAAAGAAGAATATAATGGGAAAAAAAAGAAACTTTTTTTAAAAAGGGTTTTTTTTTATGGGTTTCGAAAGAAGTTGTAGTTGACTGAGAAATCTCTTGCCACGGCTCAACCAATCACAACTAAAACCAAAACCAACGGCCGTAACCGGTAACTTGCTCGCATTAATCAGTTCTGACGCGCCTGTCCTGGTTTAAAAAAAGGCGTTGTACAGCGATGCATACCAATCGAAAGTGTGGTCTCAAGTTTCTTTTTCAACTAGCTTTATTGCAGGCTCTCTACTATAAGGGGGCATGCACAAAGTGAGCGTTGTAGAAGAGCCGGCTCCCAAGGCCAACGGAAACTTTGGCACAAACCTCAAACAAGAGATTCTACTCGAAAAACAACCAACCATCCACCTGAATCTGCACAGCTATAACTATACCTTTTCTTGAAGAAAACACGTTTCTTCTTTTGTCAAGAAACCGCTCAGCTCTACAAACACGATATGGAAAGGAGCCTGCTCTGGTCCTTTCTTGGTTCCAGTCTCTGAGGAGATACCATCAAATAGCAGACTTCCTGCGCATGTGTAATCAACCAGTTTAATTTCTTTGAAACTTTCAACAGATTCACACAATGCGTCGTAGACCATTTTCTCAGTCATATGACAAGGAAGAACTGTGCCTCTACGGTACTGGAATTCCAAGACAGGAGACTTGTAGTGGAAGCGTGCGACTCTCACCACATCCCCCATTCTGTATCGGTAAAGACCACCCGGCGTGGTTATAACCAGCTCGTAGAGAGAGTTTACTTCGAGATCTTCGGCTAAACAAGTCTATGAAGGCAAGCAAAGGAGGGAAATTCTTTACTAAAGTCACCTGGAAAACCTTCAACAACAGCAAGGTACACAGTTTAGACTGTATAGTAAGTCCGGTATAGTCATTTATAGACAGTTTACCTGACTGGATTTGTTAGAATGTGCATGCAATCGGTCTCTTGAGAGCCAAACTCAAGAACCCAAAACTCACCCTCCACACCCATGACACCCATCACTAATCAATCACTCCTCCACCTAGCACTGCTATTCTCATCATGATTATCAGTCAGAGCATTGATTTGGTTGGACCACCCCGCAGGCAAAATTCCTTGACTTTTTTTACTGCTTTCTACATTGAAACTCTAATAAAAGTGTCAAAAGCCCCCTCCCCACTACTTTCCTACTTTTGACACAGAGCTCCCAGTCACCCACTCACTGTTAGGTCTGTTTCTGTGCTATCTCCCAGCATCAGGCTCGACGGCAGCTGCCCTCTTTTTTCTCCCGCTACTCTGGCTTGAACACACGCGATGCCCGTTTTAAAGCAAAAACTTAACGAGCAACCTTAAGCAAATTCACACAAACATTCACACACATATACTATATATATTGAAACAATCAGTTCTCCTGTACAAGGTTGGAAAGGAAACAGGAGTTCAAAATTCATTTCTCATCAACATTGCGATGGGGGAGGGGAAGGCAGGTTCGAAAAGGTTCAGGTGGCTAGATATTTGCCAACTGAGTTTTTTTGGTACCTTTTCATGGACTGGAACGAAGTGAGTGAATTATGCAACTTCTGGGATCAAAACAGGAATTCCCGAAAAGCCCATCAGAATGCAGGATCCACTTCATCTTGCATATTCTCGGAGTCAGCCTTTTAATAACGTTACACATGATCATGATCAATTCATGAATGCTGCGATCGCAAACGCGCGCTCTTTCATCCCAGCCAAGATGAAGAGGTTGAGTGAGTGAGTGTGCGATCACGAGACACCTTTTCTATTTCGTTTATGATGAGAGTGGTGCTGAAAAGTGGAGTGGCGCTGAAAAGAAGGAGAAGTGAAAAGCACTTTTTTTACGGGTTACTGTACAGAGAAAACCTACCTTAGCTTGTTCTTTATGACAATTTTCAACAGGAACAAATTCAAAAAAGGCAGCTGACAGCACAGGAAGATACGTCGGCTTATCTTTTGGCCATAAATTGACACCAATGACTGATTCAGTACTTGTGTAAAGTGCAGAGTACATAGGCACGTCATCTGTGTATTTTTCTCGCAGCCTTGTTGCATACAATTCTTGTCGCCCTGAATAAAGAGGCAAGAGAAAACGTTGTAATCGCATCATTTTTAAGCCAGGTTTCTGATGAGGAACTGGAAATGATGGAAATTGCAATGATGAATTGCAATTCTTGCTTTTAAATGTATATACGCTTTAGCTCCACAATATCTTAGTAGTCTTTTAATAGTGAGAGAGTAATCACGTTATAATCTTCGATCAAGTGACGGGATTGTCTTAGTACTAATTGCCCCTTCTATCATGACAAAGAAAACACTGGGAGACTGAGCGTTTTCAACCGGTGCACCGAAAGTATGGAACAACCTGGCTTCCATTACATATCAGGAAGGAAAAGAACTTTAATACATTTAAGAACTTCACTTGCTCAAGAACTATTATTTTAAAATAGCTTATCACTTACATGTAGTTACTTTAACGTACTTTTAAAGCTTTTTAACGTTTATTTTTTAACCTTTTAAAAGCCTTTTTAACCTACTTTAGCGTCTCAGAATTCTTACAGCGTTTATCTTATATTTTAAGTTGTTTTGCATTCATATTGTATATACATTTTATTAATTTTAATTCTTCATCTGTGTAATGCGCATTTGACCATATTTTTATGTTAATTTGAGCAATATAAATGATATGTATTATTATTATTATTATTATTATTATTATTATTAAATAAAGTAAAATATAGCCAATGACAGAGCTCATGGTCGTGTTCTGAAACGACTTAAGGTTTTCCTGCGACGGGCGAGAAGCGATCTATCCTCGTGTCCCCTTTTATTCTCTTATCTGATAGAGACAAAAGCCTGCAATATTTTCTACCATACCTGTAGTTACGCAGAGTATAATCCTTAAGTTTGGCCAGATTCTTGATGCTATTCCATCAAATCCTGCCTGGAATTCTTTTCGTAATTCTTCAGCTCGTTTCTTGTCGGGCTCAAGACACCTTTTCAGCTCACTGAAACAGCACCACATTGTTAACAATATGTTACTCTTTATCGTTCACGTGTTTTCATCGTTATTTCCTGATCAGGTTATTGAGCGCACTAACCGGCACTAGAGGCTTACCATTTACACAAACCACCCGGGTGGAAATCTGGTTCATAAACATAAAACTATAGATTGAACGTGGTGGGCGGGCCTGCTACGAAGTACTATCCATTATTTCAATATTACAATAGACGAGGGCACCCAACGAGAAAATAGTTCAAAACCACTTTTATAAACATAACATTTTTAAACGTATTTTTTTTAAAACGGTAGATATAGGCATATTTTTATCCCCTAAAAATTTTTCATCTGTTCGGATTTCCTAACTGAAAGTCTAGTGATCCGAACATTATAGGGATCCAAACTTGCCTTTTTGAAAATTTCAGCCAGAAAAAAGGTTCCCGAAAATTCTAAGTGACCTTTTTAGGGTAAAAATCTGTTAAAAATGGGCAATGATACCATTTTTTAGATGTTCGAAAATCCTGGGAGAGGCAGGCAAGCAAGAAATTTTACAACAAATGTTCCGACGATTCTAAATCTCAAATCGTTTCCCGAACAGATATTCTCCGAAAATTGCCGTTGGGTGCCCCTGAATAAGGCTCTGGACCTGTACGACGTTGACGACATCAGAAACTAGAGAACAATCTCTCCCAGGTCCAACATAGCGAGGACTCTCCTGTGCCCGCCGACGTGCTGCTTCTAGCAATTTGAACTTCTGTTTTGTTTCCTTTTGACTTTTCTTCTTATATATCAGTAGCTTTAGTCATTAAGTTTTTTTTTTTTAACGATTTATTATTTTTTTTTTGTTAACGAGGGATCCACGGTAATTGGTTAGGCTAATAATTTTTATGTATTCATGTATAAAGATTGTATTCTATTAGGCGAAGCTAAATAAATAAATAAATAAATAAATATCCAAATCAGCTGAAAGACTAAACAAGAGGGAAAGTTGCATCGGCTCAAATCACATCCCATACTTTCTGAAGCTTTCCACACGGAAAGACACTTTGATTTTCCAACCAGAGTTTCTGTTTTTTTTCCATGTAAATGGTAAGTACCCAAGATCTCTTGATTTCGACTCTTTTATTGTCCTCGTACCAGTCGTCGTGATTAAAAGCTTTGCGAGAGGTATGTGTTCCAACAAAAGGCAACATAGAGCGAAGACCAGCGAAGGCGTGGTTGACGGAAGGATCGAATTCCTTTCCCCTACTATGTTCCTAACTTAGGTCGAGTCTTTAAAGAACAGCTAGAGAATTGCTTTTCGCTGGCCTTTCAACTGAGTACGAAGTAGGAAAGAGAACAAGTGGCAAAAAAAGCTAAATGCCCCTCATATAGGAGAAAATGCTCCTTATGTAGGAGATGATAATAATGTTTGGTTGCACTTCACAACTAAACAAACGTATCCTAGGTAGTGGTCTCAATATTTTGGATTAAAAAAGGACATTACTCCCAAAAAGACCACATATATAGATCTCATGGTCAGCACGATCAAGGTTACTATTAGTAATTAAAATTTACAATGTAAAACAAAACCGACATGCCGACTTATCTCAATCTTCAGTGCGTATAGAGTTATAAGCTAGAGCCAAAATAGCGAGAGTTTCACCTCATGATATTACTGAGATAAGAGACAAAAGAGATCGGCTCTCAGTATGCAAAGACACAACTTGACACTTTCCATCAATATCGAAGGATGGAAAGGCGTTACCAGTGTTCATAGGCCAATTTTATGCTACGCATTTGTTTCAGTTTGACTGATCACGATCTGTTTTGATATAATTTTGATAAACTTTAGACAGTTCACAGGATTTGTACCACCTCGTTAACAAGGTCCTCTCCTACTCGTCGGAATATGGATGAGCAAAAAAAACGTGGTTACAACGCAAAAGAGGAGAGTACCGCTGACACAATTGAAATAAGAAAACTGAGTCCGTGTATCTGAAAATAGCCTGGGAACAGTGCGTACGTCTTTCAGAAGCTTTTCCAATAAACTGGTTGAACTAATTTGTTAAATATTTTTCCATCTATTCGCTATTGCTTCTCTGTTGCTAGACACTGAACTGTTTTTATCCGGTTGAGAGCTATTTTGGCGCAAAAGAATAGATATTTTAAATAGCCTGAAAGCCCAATACGCTGTGGGGTGTAATTCTTACCTTCTTATCTTAGCATCCAATTCTAAATCAGAATCCAAACTTCCTTCTTCAATATCCTTCACAAGACGTTGCCAGTTTTTCTCTAGTTCAAGGAAACCTCTATACGTGTACGCGGCCAAGTTTGAAAATACAGTTCCGATGTTGCGATCCTTTAAACCAAATAGCAAGTGAACATAGTACGACGCGTGGCTTTCCAAAATGTGAAAGCCAGGCCCTGGCGTTGAGAATATTGCCAACTGGAATCCGGTTGGTGTAACATTGCTAATACCACCTTTAGGAATTCCGCCTGCAGTCGTCTCTATGTTTCTACCTGGTCTGTAGAATCCCAGAGTTTTCTGAAGATTAAATGTCTGCAATTTAGAGAATAAAATAATGTCATGTTAGCTACAATACAAAACCTGGAGGTCCACTGTAAGACCAATAGATCGCAAACGAATCACAAGGCTCTGAATTAGCTGGCAACATCGTCCCCAGGGCTTTTCCCTTAAAAAAATTGGCCCCACCCATTTTTTAAGGGAAAAGCCCTGGAGACGACTTTGAATTAGCTAGGACACAAATGATTTAGATTAGCAAAACCAACAACCTTCCACGTGCAGCACAATTTTTGTACACTTCTGATCTTTGCGGTGACTACAACACTACTAGAACATTACCTTTTATCGAGAACGAAAACAAACGACGAAGAATTTATCTTTCTCTTTTTGGACTTGAAAATTTTCCTTACGAATTTAACTGCAGGAGAGTTAACCTTCATGTTACAAAGTGAGCGAGTTGGGAGAGTAATCGCACTCAAGTTTCAAATGTTTAAGTGACGCTTTCGCTTTCATAGCCGTGGTATCTTTAACTTCCCTCTGTTGTCAATACACTTACTTATATAGAGAGGTACCCCCCTTCCCGCTAGTGTTGACGAGAAAGAGCGTTTTTCTTGAAGTGCGGTAATACGTGTACCTTCTTCACTTACCTCAGGAAACGCCGAATACATCGCACTCGAGAGTGCAGCTCTTGCCATAAAGAATAAATACGCTTGACTCTGAACACGAGGTATCATACTTGGGGAGCCTGTGGTTCCTGACGTCACGGCCAGTTTACTTGTCTTTTCTATTGTCAACACCGCATCTTCACCCTTAGCGATCCTGTCTTGTTAAGAGAAATCGCAAGCAAATATTTAAGACATTTTTAAGCGAAGTTTAAGGAGAACGGATGTTTTATGAGTCAAATGAGTCAATGAGTCATGAGTCAATGAGTCAGATCTGAAAAAAAAAAAAAAGTTTCGGTAGAAACAATAAAATTAGGCATTACTTTTATTTATTTTGTCTACTTGCTTCATTGCTGACTGCAAATGCAAGGCCTATTTCTGACATGAAATCTCAACCTGGGCTGTTTCTTAGCAGTATCCCAGGTCCTGCTACTACTACGTGCATGCCCCGAAGAATAGCCTTCCCAGACATCCTTTACTGAACCATTTAAAACATCAATTTAAGTGTTTACAGGCTAGATACCCTGTAAAATTCTCAGGACCCCGAAAACCCCACCCTGTTAGGCAGCTCATACCAGTTTAGGGTCAATTTAAGGGATTGCATCTCCCCCGCGCTCGTGTGCATGCAGATTATCACAATAACCGTGGGGCGCTAGTTTTCTACGAAGCCGTTTTTTGCGTCGTCACGCAACCCTGACACAAAGAACTTACAATAGGTGAATGGCTACGGTTACAAGAGTGTGCGTGATGGCTTACCCACATATTCCTGGTAAGAAGCCTTGGTCGTCAGTGGAACAAGTTTTATGAAGTCTGCACTGTTCTGGATGCTTTCAAAGTTGTACTCTCGCCCAAAAACGGTGTTTCGATTGCTGCTTATTATCTCCATCAGAAACTTTTCTTGTACTTCTCGACAGTCGTTTGCCTCCCGATCAAAGCGTTTTCTTATCCGCCCTCCGTAAATCCGCAGAACCATAGTAGCCACATAATTCTGAAGCAGACTTCGAAAATTGTGAGATTTTGATCTGTGTTGGCTAAAAATATGAACACACGCTAAAATCGTGATGCATGCCAAGAAACCAAATATGGCAGCGAAGAGAAAATAGGTAAATTTACTTGGCAGTGCTGCTATAAAAGACAGTGGAACCATGATGAACGCACAGACTTTAACGTAAGTCATTCGAGCCATTTCTGATGATTTTTTAACGGTATTGCAGTTTCTGCAATAAGGAGTGTTCACTATTTTGCGCTCTAAAATTTGCGTGTCTCGATATGTTGTTTAGTATGCTAATGACTCTGTACCCCCCATCATATTAAAAAAGCCATTAAGCGATATCATAAATAGAAGATGCCAGTCACGCAACGCTGACGCTTGCATTTGACGCAATCTCGTTCCCAGGGGACGGGTAGGAGAGAATCCTGGGAACGAGGTTGGCATGAGCCTGCGTAGCAGGCGCTTGGAAGTAGTGGGCGAAAGAAAGAACGGGCGCGCGACAGGAAAACACGGAGGCTAGGTTGGCATTGACGAGGCCCTCTTGCCATCTTGCGGTCGGCAGGGGCGTGGCCGGAGGGGGGGGAAGTGGGGTTTGTTACGTATGTTCTTAGTTTGCCCCTAAAACAGTCGATTTTTTCTCAAAATCGGTTTAGCGCAGCGTAAGAATAGCGTAAGAGTCTCACACGTGTGAGGCGAGGGAGAAAAAGAGAGGGAGAGTAAAAAAAGGATTTTTAACGTCTTTTTCCAGTCTCGTTCTCTGTTTTCACCCTCGCTCCAGACCTTTTGCTTGACTGTTCGCGCATACTTGCAGTCTAGTCCCCAGGCTGAATTTTAAGCGGTCTTTTCGCGTTTTGAGGTATAGACCATATCCCTGTCGGTATTAAACCCATCTTCGTAGTCGCCATTTCATCCAGTAGCTTCCAGTCTTATGTCTCTGTTTCAAGGCCATATCTAACCTTATCCTACCCCAACAGGGTCTCAATGACGATTTAGGGCCTCTTCATATAAACCCTGATGACCGATGATCTCGCCTTACCTCTGCCTGTGTAACAGCCGTGCCTCCTCGCTCCTCGCCGCTATGGACGATTCGAGGAGAGAACGCTGTCTTTGCAGGCTATGATGATTACGCTAAGAAAATACCCAGACCACCGGCAATTTATGAATTTAAAAACAAGAAACAATCAAAGAGCTCGTGGTAAGGATCCAGGTAGAATCTCAAAATGGTCCAAAATGACTCAAACCTTGTTATTGTCCCCAGCCTCACCAACTAAATAATAAAATTGCAGCTGAAATTGCTTTATTCATTTTTGTTTTTCATGGGCCCTAAAAGCAAGTTTAACACTGCTAGCCAATGGAACCCGTACGGCGCGGCCAACGCGATTTAAAAGGTAGATTATTAACAAATAGTCTAGCCAAGAACTGGTCCTGGTGGTCAAACAATAGCCTACGTTACTGCCGGCTAGTAGCAGTAGCAGGCAGTTTTTTATCTTTTCCCTGTTATTCTCCCTGTTCCTTTGTGTTATAACTTCAGATGTAGAGGATATTACACGGTGGCGCGAAGATATGAATTTTATTTTCGAGTGGCAAAACAATATTTTACGAACGAGCGCAGCGAGTGAGTAAAATATTGTTTTTGCCACCAGAAAATAAAATTCATATCTTTAAGCCGCCGTGTAATGTTTTTTTTATTATATAGACAAAAAGACATCGATAAAATGATAGAGGGAAATTACCGAAATTACGTCATCGATAAACTCACGTGTGAGATTATGGAAAATAAATCACTCGGGTCCCGGATGTAGTTTTTATGAATTTTACGAGTGGTATATTTTCCAGTAAAACACTCGTGTCTATATAATAAAAGAGGTTATAAAACTGCCTGAAATAGTTCTGAACTATAAACTCCCTCTAAACACACGACAGTTACGCATCGATACGGGAGAGACATCTTTGATGAATATTCGCGCTAATTTTTGTTCCCGTAAATTCTTACATATAACTGATAACAAAAGAGACTCTTGTTGATAATGGATACAACAATAACACTCTTTATTTGCCTGACTATGACAAAGTATTGAAAAGAACAGAAAAATTTAAATTGAAACAACAGAAAGGTTACAATCATCGCTTATTTCAACAATTCAAAGGAGAAGTCACTGACCGGTAAAATATTTAGAATCAGTATAATTTCCTAAACTGTAGTCATAAGGTCTGAGAATGATCGTTGGGGTTTTAGGTTGTTTTTTTATGTCTCTTATCGACGAATAGCTTAAATAATCTCTTTTATGCAAGAGAGGGGTTCATTCCGGTTTCAGCTCGATTCATTGTATAACGTGAATGTTCTAGAACAAAAGATTTTCATCATCCGGTATTATTAGATTTGGCACATGTGAAATGCGACGTGGCCTAAAGAAAGTAAGAGGGTCTTTTAGTCGAGGGAGTTAGGGCAAAAGCGTAACATTTCTGAAAGATGAGATGCAAGTCCCTAGCAAAGTACCGGTTTGGAAATTATATCTATTATATCAGCCCAAGTGAAAACATAATCCCATTTTTTTGTGACCATGACACTCGCGTATGCCGTGCTCCGAACTTGGCATTTCTGTGGTACAATCAGGTGAATTAAATGCGATTATGTATTTGAACTCATTGACCCTGGCCTAATTTCTTTTAATCTGGGCTAAGAGAGGATATGCTCTCATTTCCCGGCGTCATAGCTTAAAACCCTTGTCACGTGTTTTTATCGCGTCAAATATTGAGTCGCTCGAAAGAAAGACAGACGCCTCTCATCAAAGCTAAGACCCTTTACTGAGATATGGCACTCTTTTGTTGCACTTTTAGTCGCCTGGATTCTACGGACAAAGAAACTAAGACTTCTTTCAGGAAAAATCGTTATGGCTTAAAAACGGACGGAAGATTAGGGCTAACTATTAATCTTCTGGGAAGAATAATGTCGTCTTACGGTTAAAGAAAGCCAGGCAGATTCTTGAAAAAAAGCTTTGTACTATAGCTATGAAGTTCAAGGGGGACTAGCAACGACGTCTGCTCACAGCAATTCTTATAAGTTTTTCTTCCTGAAAATAATATCTAGCTACAATTAATAAGCCCTTTTAACCCTTAAGACTTTTCAAGGTATCTGAGTGACTCAAGACTATGGCGACTGATGAAAACATGCAGCTGCTTCTATTAGAATGGTAACAGCAGCTTTTATAAATATAAAACATTTAAATCTCGTGCTTCTACAACTTAGATAAAGATACTACTGTAGATATCTATAAAGGGTTGTAAGTTTTCGCCGCGATATTACAGACGGTTAAGCCGGCCATTGGTGGAGAAAATTCATCTGTTAGAATAACAAATTGAATAAATGGTTCTGCATTATGTGAAAATACAGGTGAAAGTACTACGGAAGAGGTTTTTTACATGAGGCAGCGTGGCCATGTGGTTAGAGAGCTGGACTCGCAACCCGAAGGTCCAGAGTTTGAATTTGTAAGAAAGCTAACTGGTCTGCTTCCTGCCAGTTGGAATCTTTAACCTTTAGGCTATTTAGATAATCGTTCCATCACTGCCAAGGGTAAAAAAGGAGATTTATTAATTTTTTTATTTGAAGTCTCTCACTGTTTAAATAGGATTCGGCCCACAACTCAAGGTTCTGAGCTGAAGGAAGTCACCTCTGACAAAGCACGTGACCCACTTACTTCTCTGGATTCCAAGACTTGTCTCGCGCTGGGCGACCAAACACTGAAACCTACCGCGTCGATCGACTGCCCTGCTCAAGATGTTGGGATGCAAATTGATGGGCTAAAATCAGCTTGGGATGCGAAACGTTTGAAGACAAAAAGTGAAATTGGTGCGGACATCTTCGGGCCACAGTGATTGATCATTGAATGATTTGAGTGAAAGCTCAGCTCACCCTCAGCTCTTTAGAAGGCTTCACACACCATAGGATTTAGCTCGCAGAGTAAAAAATAGAACAACAAACTAGATGAATAGTACCAAGAAAAAGCACTTGACTCAGCCATAAGTTGATGAGACGGCCCTTTGAGTTCTGAGTCCTAATGACACGTACCTAAAGGTGCGTTCAATTGACGCTATTCCGGAATAAGAATACACAGAAGTTTTGTTCCAAGTTTCTTTTACCATCTGTCTTGGACCACTTGAACCTACGTGCAACTTAATCCTGTATTTCAACTAGCTAAGATTCGGAGGTGTTACGCTGTGACGAATTATTTTATTCCGGAATACCATCATAAGAACGCGCACTAGAACATTCTCTAATAACTCCAAGGGTAAGGGTCAAACCAAACAAGAAAGTTCAGGTCACTGTGTGCTTTACGTTACTTCCAGGTTAGTGCACTAAAACATTATATGAAAGCATTGAAAATGACATTCGATCAGGTACACATAGCCGACAGACATCATCACAATCAAGAATATACGTGAACATTTATCATTCTTTACTACTTCGAAATCAGTCATAGATTTACTTGAAAAAATTCTGTGCATTACGTTTGTGGTGTGGGGGGGGGGGGGGGGGGGGGAAGGGTTATGGGGGCCTCCGGTTGTTATTTTTGAAAAAACCGTAAATCCCCTTTTGTTTTTTTTTAAAATTTTTTTGAGGGGGGGTGGGGGTGTTTAAAGAGGGGTTTTTTCCGCGGCCCCCGTTTTTCTTTTCGCCGAGATCAGGGGGGGGGCGCCTAATTTTTGGCAAAAAGGGGTTCTTTATTTATTATTGATAAATAATGAAAAAAAAATAGAGTAGTAGGACAACTACGGACACACACGCAATCAATATCAGATGAAATTATAAATTTTTTCTATTCTCTTTTTTATTTAGTTAAGTCTTTAATTTACGGATATTTAGGTATATTGATTGTGTGGGTGGTGGGGGGGGGGGGGGGGGGGGGGGGGGGGGGGGCGAGGAAAGACTAATGCGGCCTACAGTTCGTAATTATGTACAAATCGCTTATCCTCCTTAGTTTAGTTTGTTAAAGTATCTGGCAGTGTGTCTGAGTGTGTAAAGAAGCGTTGATTCCGCGCGCTCCGCTTATCAGATCGCCGAGATCCAGAGAGGGACGTCGAACTATTGCGTAAAAGGGCGTCTTTAAGTTCTTTTAGAAGTGGCATTATACAAAACGTGCTGTTTTGTAGTATATTGTTATGTCTTTTCAATGATATATTTCCGTTATAAAGAATGTTAGAAGATTTTAGAAAGCAAAACAATTACACTGCGTGAGGTCTTATTCTGAGCACGGCAGGCAGACGGTAAAAGAGTCTGTAAACAGCTTAAATCAAACATACAGCCATAAGGTCACGAGATGTTAAAGGTAGTTCTCTTAACATGGGTTTTATTTTTCTTCGGTTTCGTTATTTATCTAGGCTTCGAGTTTCTTCGCGTCTGGAAAAACGGTCATTCTAAGTTCCATACATTGTTGAGTGTGATCGTACACTTTCTTCTTAACCGCTTTGTGTTTCGTATCGGAGCAACCGCGAGAAGAAAGCTGGAATATGACACAGGAAACTTTTCCTCTGTACAAGAAGATTTTCTGTTGAAAATTCTGAAAAAAAATTCCAGGACTAAGTATGGAGAAGAGTTCAAATTTGGTCGAATATCAAACAGGCATGAATTCTTACACTGTCATCCAGTTACAGACTACGATCACTACAAGAATTACGTAGGTATGTAAAAGCACATTTTCTTCCCTACTTTTACATAATTAATCAATAAGATATTTACTATCTGCACTAAAACTGTACATTAACCTTAACAAACAGCTAGTTTTTGCTAAATTTTGTCACTCCTGATACCTGATGTCTCAGGTGCAACTACGCTAAGAATTCGCTGTATTCTCAGTTTTTTTTTACTAAAGCTGTTCATACAAAAATAATTGCAACAATAGCAAGAAAAATAACCCTGTGTAATTTCAAGTTACTTTTCAGCAAAAATTTGCAAACTATTTTTAGACATTTTTTTCGATCAATATTTTATTTTTTAAAAAAAGGTCCTCAATTTTCGGTGCTTGAACTTGTACGTGCATTGTATAATTTGTAATTTGTAATTTGTAATTTGTAATTCGGTTTACCCACGGAGCATTGACATTCCCAAGTGCTGATCCCTAACACTGATTTCAGTTAAAATTACACTTGAGTAACTGGACAGAAAAGTCAAGTACTACTCAAGTTTGAAATTTAGTCCCCATATGTTCCTTCGATGCTTATACTTAAAAGTGGATATTTCGTGAATTTGTTATGACGTAAGTGCATTTGTTCGCAACTTCTGGATAAATCCGATCACTATAATCATCACTTCAAACTTGTAACCTTTGGATACGAAAAGTGAAAACAAATCAGTTTGTCCTAACAACTAACAAACGAATTCCATACTAGCGTGCGATTCGTCAGGCACTGCAGATCACAGTTCAAGTGGACTGACCATTTTAAAATTTTTGTCATGTTCTCGACATGCTGTCTACCACACTTGGTTTCCTTCTGAACTAATCATGCGTGCGCTAATGCCTGATTTCATGTCGCTTATATAATAACATAGAAGGACTATCATGGCTTCGGAGAAATTTTCGACCAAACGGTTTGGTAGTTTTGCAATTTTTTTTTCTCACTTGTTCGCCCGGAGGGGAGGTACTCCTCAGAATTCTTGGTTGAGGTGGACTACACCCAGTTCTTCAACTCCTGACTTAGTCTATTTTATATTACCAGATCATGCCATTATCCATACTTGTTTTTAGACATCATGATGGTTCATGTCAGAAGCATCTATTGCTTCTGTTAATGTAAACAGGAAACCTCTTTCTTTGTGCATATCTATATCATGACAAATTTAACGTTGTGTTGACAATCTTTTCCCCGGCTTTCTTGTGGGCTTCCTTGCGGTGGCTCACGCGACATACATATCTATCTATACAGCTATTTAGAGAAAGGTTGTCGGAAACAATGTGCACACGACAATCCCAAAATGTAATATGGAATATGATCGATACACTGTTCCGGACACTGTAGCTGTCGAACCTACTTTTGCTGCTTTGTTTTAGCGCTCGCAAACATATGTCCATGGCCTCTCGTGCCATTCTTTCGAATTTCTTTGAAGAACAGTGAATTAAAAACCACCTACAATACCTTTCGGTATGGTTGCGTGCACTCTTTCTCAACCTTTCTCGAAATAGTTGTATACGCCTGAATTTTGTCATCTTAGCTTAGGTTAGAATGCTAACAAAATTGTTAAAATTCTGATCGATTGATATCTTCTATTATTTCTCCATCTGTTTTATTCAGTTTGGAGCAAGAGAGGCTAAAGCTTTATCCTCCCTTGGTTTGGAGTTAAAAGGACAAATATGTTTGTACCCCTTCGTAGTTCCCTTGAAAATCATACCAGATTTCAAACCATAATTTAATTGAACAACTTTAGGAATTAATAGCAAGTACTTGACAAACATTTTGTTTTGTTTTGTTTTCAAAAGACAGAATAGCTAAAGGCGAGAAGAATGTTATGACTCATCAAGAGCCTTGGATGCTGGCAGTTACATCCGGGACAACAGGAAAAAGCTGTCTAATCCCCAAGACACGTGACAACTCCCGCGCTTTTGTCAAGTTCGGTTTCGCTGTTGGTGTTTATCATACCATATTTGGTGCTCTTCCACAGGTGAGACGATAAAAGACAAAAACAATCCTTAGACATACGAGACAAAACAATGATCTAGGAAGAATCCGGGGGATCGAAGCCAATCAGAAACGGTGGAATGTCTTGAATGAATAGTAATATTCATTTCTGCACTTAAATAATGTCTATGACCTTTTATTTGAACAAGTCGGATAGATGCCAGCCTTTGGAGATCCAAGATTTGGAGTCTGTCTCTTTTGTAGTGAACCCTTTTCACGTCGAACCACCACTTTTTTATAAACACAATTCGACTTAGGCCCAAATTACGACACGACACAATTACGAGTAGCTCAGGACACGACGTTTTGTACAGTATGAAGCACAGACAGTAACAATTTGCTTCCATGGTGGAAGAGTCTTCTCAGTTATGAAACCGTAGAAAACGGAAGATAATCGGAAACATTTTCAAATTTGTAGGCAAGTGGAAAAGCTCAAAACCATAGCACAGAACAGCTCAAAATTCGATTTTCTTACTGCGGTCGATTTGGTCACCCGTACGGCAGACTGGGAGATTTATGCCGTATTCGGGATACTGCCGCAAAATCCAGGTTAGTTATTGCGTGCCAGGGGCTCCGAGCCCTCCCACAACTCGCCTCACGATTTCCCTCGCTCACCTGAAAAGCGCGGGAAAAAAAACCTGTTCTACATGCGGCGTTGAGTCAATTCTCATGATTAAGTCGTATTTATTATTTTCATTTACAGGCAGACAATTTACAGAAGTGCCTCAAACTGTTTCACGCCCCTGAAATAAAGTACTCTGAGGGAGGTATTCCAATAGGACCCTCAACATTAGCCCCTTCTCTTCAGTTCCATGCCCTCTCTACGCCCCGCATGCTTCTGGATATCCCTTCGGTGCCCACAGGACTTTACATCCATCTGTTGTTTGCGTTAAGAGACAGAGATCTAGGCTGTATATGGAGTAACTTTACGTATTATATTCACGGAGTGTTTGTTTTTCTGGAGGAGAACTGGAAACTCATGGTACAGGACATCGAAAAGGGAGAGATCAATCCTGATCTTGAAATAACAGAACCTGTTCGAAGGTAAGAATGAACCAAAGAGTTTAATTTATCTCGGTGTCTGCTCTGTTGTTAATACTGATTTCCTACATGTGGGATGTCCCAAGGACGTGATTAGATTACATCTCAGTTAACGAGATACCGTATTTATTCGAGTAAGCGCCCAACCTCGAATTAGCGCCCACTAGTATTTATTCGAGTAAGCCCCCAACCCGAAATTACCCCCCACTTGTAATAACCGCCCTCCCAAAAAGCAAAAAAAGTTAATAACCCCCCCCCCCCCCTCCCTCCCCCCCAAACCCAACCAACCCCCCCCAACCAAAACCCCCCCCCCCCCCCTTCCCCCTTCCACACAAAAATGAATAAGTACTAATCTAATAAGAGACTTCCTCGAAGACCGAGTTTTCTTCAGAGTATTTTACGGGAACTTGCGTACATCTTCGCGTTTTGTTATTACCTTTTTTTGATTTGTTGCAAAATAAACATACTACACTTGCTGAAAATAGTGAAAATTTAATAAGCGCCCAGCCTCGAATAAGCGTCCACCTCGAATAAGCACCCACTCTCAAGGTCCAAAAATTTTATAATCGCTCAGGGCGGTTAATCGAATAAATACGGTAAGTAATTCTCTCTATATAAATTCATCACAAATGAAGATACCAAATGTTTCGTAGCACGATAATTCTATATTTCGGCTGCATTCAACAGCCTTCATTAGGGTTATAAAAGCGGTTACAAATCCGCGTAATACTAGTTTAAAGATACACAACACTTGAGCAGTCGAACCAACGAACCACAATAAGCGCGCGCGTTTAACAATTACCAGTTACTTCTACGATTTTATCTACGTCTCGCCGCTTATTTTGAAGCCAAAAAAAATCATCCTCATTAAGGCCGTACGGGCTCAAAGTGTTCAGTCTATAACTGGCCCTCCACGTCTCTCAGTTCCTCCTCATTACTGACTCTGTCAATGGGCTGTATCTGCAGCTGGATATCCTCCAATCCATGATGTCCCTCCCCCCAGAAATGCTTATAGATGAGATCATCCTGATCCCACTGCACGCTATCTAAGTTTCCGTAGCTTCTAATACGAGTTTATTATTATTAAACCTAATTCTAAATTTCGTTTTTTAGTTTTTGCTACATACTGGGAGGTCTATAGCAGCTTTAGGTTGACCACAGTACCGGAGTCTACGGCCCCTACTTTACAAATAACTGTGGGTTCTGTTAAGTAAAAAGGAGCCAGATTTGTGGAAGTACTGTTAGCCCGCCTGTTAGCCCTGTCCTTGTCTGAGAAGACTAGAACGTTTAACAGTTCGTAGACTTTTTCAGAAACAAGGGTCGCACATTCTCCTTAACCATCTGAGAAGTGGGTATTGATATTATTATATTGATATTGGTATTAATTCAGTTTTCAAAAGTTGCTCGTTTATTTCGTGACCGCTTGACAAGGTGTTGGCAGTAGCTATTCACGAGAGAGGATAAAGGGGGATCAGGAAATAGGCACGTGGGGGTATATATCCTTCCTTACCGGAAAAAAGTTCAACAAAGAATCATTTGTGTGCCTCTTGTTCCCCCGTATGAGGAAATCCAAGACATTCTTGGATTCTAAATTCAACTCATGGATTTCGGATTGATAGTACTGGATTACGGACAGTCTTTGTCAGTGGCATTTGGACTGCTGATTCCATTCGTTGGTGGGATTTCGGATTCTTTGAGCTGTAGTCCGGATTCCAACGCCCAGTATTCCGGATTAATTCCACAATTAAAATTTTTTCGGATTGTGGAATCCTTACGTGGGGCGACTCTTAAAACATTCTATTTCTCTCTGTTTGTTTCCTGACAGCGACTTGAACAAACTTCTTAAGCCTGACAAACAGCGAGCGAATGATCTCCGGCGCGAGTTTGAGAGAGGATTTGATCAAATAGCAAGAAGAATATGGCCGAATCTCAAATATGTACACGGCGTGGTTTCAGGTGAGAAATGATGATTTTTACCCAATCACTTTTGTTAAGACAAGTGAGCTGTTTCCTCTTGAATAACAGGAAATGTCGTTTGTCTTATAGGATCTTCAGAGTTATATGCTACCCAGCTGCGATGTCGTTATCTTAAAGGTGTTCAACTCTGCTCCACCATCTACGGCGCGACAGAAGGTTTAATAGGAGTCAATCTTTGGCCATTAGAGGATACGCCTTGTTATTTGCTTGTTCCGCGATCGATGTTTTTCGAGTTCGTACCCATTGAGAACAGCTACGAGGAACAACCCGAGGTGCGCTTATTTTCATTGTTATTTTAATTCAGAATTACCACCATTTTTTTGCATTTTAACCTTGGGATTCACTATACACATTTCCCCTTTACATGTGTGTCTATTTCTGACACAGATGTTCAACATCTGTGAATTTATTGAGGAAAAATAAGGCCAGGATCAATCGATGGTGCTAATCATGAAAACAAAGGGTGGATGCCAGGATTTGGAGGGGTAGGCCTGGGTTCCATTACCGTCCTGTCCAACGCTCAGGTTCCTAAAATAACTGAGGAGAATGTGTTGCTTGCCTTGACATCTACAATGGTTAAACATTTTACTCTTCTCGGATAAGGAAGAAACATCTTAGACTCACAAAACTTCAATGATCTGAGTTTGTGAGACTTAAAATACCTCTAGGGCTCTATCAGCCTTTGGAAGTGACCACGTTAATCTGTTATGGGTTTTAGAACGGGTAGGGAGTAGAAAGCATACTGCATAGGACCTATAAGTGAAATTTGTGTTTATCCACTTTTTGGAAGGTTTGTACTAAAGAAAAGCTGAATAACAAAATCTGCAAAAAAAAAGCGAAGCAAAAAATAAAGAAAGAAATAAAACTAAGCAAAGCAAACAAAAAGAAAATACATGATCGTTTTCTCTTGTATTTTGTAGACATTATTTGGTGAGGATGTCAAGGTTGGCTGCCTGTATGAGCTCATAGTAACAACATTAAGCGGTCTTTATCGATACAGAATTGGCGATGTGGTGAAAGTGGTTCGTTTTCATAATAGCTGTCCAGTAATTACGTTTCAGTACAGACAAGGTCAGCTACTTAATATGCGTTCAGAGAAAACGTCTGAAGCGATGATCTACGAAGCCATCACGAAAGTAACCCGAAAGAAAGGCGAGCATCAACTCGTGGATTACACATGCGCGGAGAGTATCCTGTTGGACTTTGTTCCGAACGGCAGAGCAGTCATCAAAGAACGCCAAGCAAAAAAGCATTTAAACCATACAGGACTTGGCATTGGTGCCAAACCTTTTTACTTGGTTTTCTTGGAGCTGTCACCTCTAATACGAAATACGAAGGATACCGAAGCACTTGAACAGGAGGTAGGCTTCTAAAAATGTGAATACCGTAGCCTCGTATTTGGACCAGTTCACGCTGTGCGAGTGGATTAGCATTAGATCCCATTAGCCTAAAAACCCTTGGACACATTATGAATATTTTACACAACGTAGTATTCCTTATCGCTGCGGTTCCCTTTGTTATACTTAGTTACGTTGTGTAAACTTCATAAGGTGTCCAAGGGGTTGTAGGTCTAGGCCGATGAGATGTAATGCTAGTGAGGGCCGAACGCGATTACATTACCCAGTCTCGGGCCAAAATCTCCAGAGAAGATTGACGGATGACGACACATCCGAACCTGCCTTGGACGACGGAGAACGAGGCTGTGAATACCGTAACTAGAAATAGGTGTCTCGCACGGGAAGGATCGAAGAACAGAACTGAAACCAGCCTTTGACAAGAGAGAATTGATCAATCGGGGTGGAAAGCACCATGACATCATTGCGGGCACCAACGGATATGAATATTTAACAATATATATGGGCCACGTGAGTTTGAGGGCGGATAGGATTGAAGAACAATCCACGCGCTGCGCGCGCGACTATTAAAATACCTCGGCTTTATGAGGAATTACTTGTTTTTCCTCGTTTAAATGGCCCTGTTGATTGAAGTTCTTATGAATCTAAGCCGAAAAACTTTTTATTTTTTTTTTAGTTGGACGAAGCTCTGTGTGAAATCAACCCATATTATTTAACCCGACGCGAGAATGGTGGCTTCATCGGGAGACTCAGGGTGTGTTTGGTTAAATCTGGTACGTTCCAAAAGTTTCGGGAATTTCTTCTGCAAGTCACGCCAACTGCGGTCAATCAGCTGAAGATTCCAAGGAAATTGACATCGAAAGAACAGCTNGAAGTTCTTATGAATCTAAGCCGAAAAACTTTTTATTTTTTTTTTAGTTGGACGAAGCTCTGTGTGAAATCAACCCATATTATTTAACCCGACGGGAGAATGGTGGCTTCATCGGGAGACTCAGGGTGTGTTTGGTTAAATCTGGTACGTTCCAAAAGTTTCGGGAATTTCTTCTGCAAGTCACGCCAACTGCGGTCAATCAGCTGAAGATTCCAAGGAAATTGACATCGAAAGAACAGCTTACATTCTTTATCAACCAACTTGGTCTGAAAAGGACGAGTGCATGAATAATTCTCCGGACCAGAAGTGTTAGTCTGTGAGCATTAATTGATAGACGGCTAAGCTTATACTAAGGCAAGCCATTGAATTCTTTGGGTAAACGACGCGTAAACAAGGTGTTGGTCTCCTAAACTTAGCCTCAAGAGACTTGTCAATGGGCTAATTACAGTCAATAGGTTATATGCAAGTTGAGGGACATAAGTATTCGTCAGTTTGGAAAGAGAAGTGTGAAATTTTTACTAACTTGTGGTGTGCAGGTTTTGTGTGGGAATTTGTGGCAGGCAGCGACTTTTGTCAGTGAAGGCGGGAAAAATTAGAATTTCAAACAAATACATGTAGCCTGGCGGGAAAGTCACGAATGCGTGACTATTCATCTGATTGGCTGAAAAACCTTAAGTAACGCGACTGTGAGTTACAATGTTTCGTAGCTTGGTGCTATCGTGATCACTGGGAATGATTTCAGTTGGAATCGTACATCAATTTAGGGTGACAACAAATGTTACCGGTAAAATCTAGTTTCACTTTTACTTTATGTCAGTGACGAGTTAATTTAAGGGAGTTATTTATGTTAACCTTAAAAGTCACTCTATATTTAGTCTATTTATTGCAGTACACAGCCGGTTGTTCTTAGAGCGATCATCACAAATCCAGAGTTACTTGACTCATAAGTTATAAATGTCTTTTTAGCCGGTTTCAGGTCATTTGAATGAAAAAGATCTTTACGGTTTAAAAGTCTGCCGCCGAAGATTACCATTGAATTTCAGACATGATGCTGAAAAGTCGCGGATACGGGTTGCTGCAGTTTGCCCTCGCTCGGCTGTTCAAAAGGCTGTGTTCACAAAATGGAACACGCAATTGGCTTCCCTAATACTCATCCGCTGAATAGTGATTTATCCGCCGGTGGATAGATAGACTACGAGCAGTCTCTCTTTTTTCTTGGTCCGTCGAGCAAAACGCCCGAGACACGCAAATGACCACGCGCGTGACTGAAGGCTCGAGACGGGGAGTCCTCTTTTCTCGCGCGCGCGTGCACTCCCCTTACTAAATCTGAAGAAAAAGAGAGACTGCTCGCAGTCTAGTGGATAGAGCTATCCAACGTTGAAACAACCGGGACCTCATAAATTACCATACAGCGGATAAGTATTAGGGAAATAACTGCGTTAACCACTGAATGGAGAGTTATCCTGTGATTAGCGTTATCCACCTTCTGATCAACTGGCTCCTGATGATCGCTCTTTGAAAAGTTCGGCCCAAGAATTTCTACAATTGCTATGATTCTATTTACAGGCACTGCACAGCTTAATTACTATTTATCACTCATGTGAAGAAGTCGTATAATTTGTTGTGATTTATTTTATTATTATTATTATTATCATTATTTTATTTGTGCCAGGATAAATCAATGGCAAAGCATCCAAGAATGGAATAACCTAATAAATAATGCTGATATACGGGCACTTTCAAAAAACCACCGGAAGTCTCTATTTGTCTTAGTATGAAAAAGGTTTTTTAAGCATGATAACACAGAGATAAATTGTATTTTTCTTAAGTCAATTATCTGCAAGTACTTTTCAGTTTTGCCCAGACGGTCTCCCCACATCCTGCCCGGCAGCAGAGCTTTAAAGACCAGGCGCGGATCCATACCGGTTTCCACCGTTGAACGGAAATCGGTCAGATTTTTCGTAATAAATATATTGTTAGTAAAAAAACTTTAAACTTTGCAAGTTGAAATCTGGAAAATAGTTTGGACAGTCAGTAAATATCTTGTCTGAATGACTCAGAAACCAAGGAAAAGGGGACTTTAGGGAGTTAAAATCCAAACAATTTCCCGGTGTAGCATGCCCCTAGACTTCCCTAGAAGTAGGAAATCGGTCAGTATTTATTCTAGATCCCCGCTTGAAGACCCTGTATGAATCGAGTAAGATCTGTATTGAGCATTCGCCACTTGCACATCTCCGATAATGCTTATTCGCCCCCCCCCCCCCAAATTTTGCCTAACCTTTGTTTTTCATTTCTCTTGGTACGGCTGTAATACCCAGGAGAAATGAAAAACAAAGGTTATGCAAAACTTTGGGGGCCAAATAAGGTGCATGATGGGAAGTGGTGCAAGTGGCGAATTCGCTAGATGTTGTTAGGATACAGTTTCGAACCCAGGCCTAATAAACGTGCTCTGCTTGGTACAGCGGGCTTAAGTTATAACCATCCCTTTATCAATAAAAGAAAGCTCGCACTGGAAAAATCAGTTTGACGAGAGAAAACAAGATTGACTAGTCCAGACCAGAAGTTTGGGCTGCGGCGACTCCACTTAAGGCTTGACGCGGTTCAGGTAGAGCCTTCTTTTCTCTTCCCCGATCAAGAAGACAAAAGGAGACTCTATTCCCAGCAGAGGCCGCTTTCGTTTGATTTGTTTATGTTCGAGTTGAAGGCTAAGCGATGTTACTCTGAAAGAACTGTCTTACTCCTTTAAAGTTCGTCTTATTCAAGCGCATACGTAGAAATAATTTATGAAAATACAAAGAGCAAATCTCTGAAGACCTCGCATGACCTGCTAGTGCAATGGCAAAACCAACAAAACAAGCGAAAATGGTCTAATGTGGATAGACTATTTATCGCGTCCTTCCTTTGCTTTTTAGTCACTCTCGCTAAGTACGCACTGACTGTATTTTGGTCTATTTTTTACCGATAAAAAAACCAAGACTTTTTTTTGCTATTTTTTGGTATACTAGCAACAGCAATATGTTCATAATAATTCATTATCGGGAGATTGTTCTTCTGTTTTCTCCTCAGTGTCTGTAGCAATTTTATTTTCCTCCTGAGCGTTTTCTTCTGAAGTTGATTGCGTAAGTTCTGAGAGCCATGACGTTACCAAAGAGCGTGCACTGTTTATGGCACCACCTGCGATAGAAAAGGAATGAATTTGTGACCATGGAAGGAGGGGTTTCTAACTGAAGCCGTGATTACACCGTGGCCAATCAGAATACGCTCTTATAATCAGATGAAGCAATCAGATCTCGGAGAAAAGTAAATGCAGCCGTCGACAAGGGCGGGAAAACGCGTGCTGCCAAGTTACAGTTGGTTTAACTCCTGATTGGTTGAGCAGCTGGTGGGGATTTTTTTAGTCAATCACCAGGCGTTGCAATGCAAAACCGAAGCATTTACAAATTAACTTTCGACACTCAATTGAAAGGAAAAGAAATATCTTAGCACACACGAAACCATCTCTTTACACTATTCCTAAAAATGGAACAATGTAGAATTTCCAAAACCTTTGATCCCTGACTTCTATTTAAAAGTCAGAGGAATAATACGGACTTACCAACTGCTTTCCCTGTGCTTGCCACAGCCTGACCAATTCTACGCCCTCTCTCTGTGTTCGTGGTCACATCTTGCATAACGCTAAACAACACACAAGAATAATTTGGTCAGTTATAAACAAAGAGAAAAAAGAAGATACCAAACAAACAGACAACAACAACAATAAAAAACAGCTCGTCAAAAACATTAAGGAAATCGCCAGCAGTTAGGTCATGTCTGCGCTGCTTCGCTTTCATCGTAAAATTATTTTTGCATTGAAAAAGAATCAAGAGCTTGCAAACCACATGAAAACTTTTTTGAAAGCAAAAATACTGACATCCACATTACTTTCCCTTTTTTGACCACCTCAAAAGGATACTTTAATTTTAGGGCCGTGGATTACCTATACACTGGCTGATAAAGCTAAGCGTAATATCCACTTTAATATCCACTTTAAATAATAAGTGTCGTATCGTATCGTATCGTGTTTACAGCAATTCCCTTGTAGAGTTCTCAACCTGGCAAACGATTTTCTTCAGTTTTGGGGAGAATTTTATTGTATCCAGGGTGGTGATGGCGATATTAGGGTGGAGGGAAGAACCAAATCACCTGAGATGTTCAGTAGTACGATGTGCGGAGTAATTGTCGTACTCATGTTCACAACTACTCTTTCTACTTGCGTTTATCGCGTCACTGTGACAGAAACATTAACTTAACGACAAAAGATACAATGGATACATTAGCGACAGCGACAAGAACCTCCACCGACCTGGCGAGCCGAATCTTTAAATCAGACAGTCCTAACTGGCCTTGAAATGGATGTCTGTAAACAAAAATAATAGTAATAATAATGTTTAAAAACTGCAACGGTTTTCATAGCTTGCAATAAACAATGTGTTTTCCCGAAATATCATGTGTTTACCCTGCGTGAACATCGTCGATCCCAGCATGCTCTTTCCCTCGCCACACTTGATAGTTGGTAGTTTGTTTCCAGGCATCCACAAACTGTTCATTGTAGTTTGTCATCCCTTCGCCGTCTGCGAAACGAGAACTATAAGTTTACTTCGAATTGCATCCCTGTTTAATTGTCATGAAAAAAAAAAAAAGAAATGGCTAATCCATAAAAAAACTGAAAAAGGTTCTTCAGTAAAAGATTCCCAGTTTCTATAACACTGAGATTCTTTATCATTCCTCAAAAATACTGATTCTTCAGTTCTTGAGCGATTACTATGACATTCTTCGAGATCATGACTTTGTAGAAGACCAAACTTTTAACGCAAAGTGTTTGTACACGCGACTACAGTAAAAAAAGTTTGTGTAACAGCTAAGTCAAAAATTTTACAGGGAAGAATTTCTCGACGCTGACAAACCTGTGTGTTGTATGGTGGACAGCAAAGACATGAGATACATCTTAAATTGAGCTCGTACCCACTCATCGCTTCCATCCCATCCTGGTGAACAAAAGAAAAAGCATGGATCAAATTCTAACAATTCTAACAGCTGAAAGGTTGCTTTCCTGCGATTTCAGTTACCTGGTTTCCGCGTCATCTTTGCCCGCCAATACTTATGATTATCAAAAACGCACAACCAAGTAAATTCAAACAGGCTGAGAGAGTACTGTCTGGGAATGCGTAGCAAGAAAATATTAATACCAATCTACGGCAATTTCAGTTTTTTTTTGCTTGTTCGCCGCAGTTGTTCCATTTGTGTTTAA